ACGTTAAACGTAAAGTTGGGTCATGCATCATGGTGAATGTTCATGCTATCAAGGCTTGCAAAATATCGAGTTAAAAGCCGTTGTTTTGAAAGAACCTGATTGCGTGATGATATGGATGAACTGGTTTGATGCAGAAAAAAAATTCTCCAACGTCAGATTCCTAAGCGCAGCGGTAGGAGCGTGCTGATAACGTGTTGTGGTCTATTTTTATCTGACAAAGGAATAGGGTCGGCGGCAGAGGGAGAGAGGGAATAGAGATGTGTGTTTGTAGAATTGTAGAGGAATGTGTGTTGTTATCCCTCATACCTTGTGCCTTTATTTATAGTAGTAAAGGGAGAGAAGATATTCCTTCTTCTCCAAGTAATACAAGTTGTAATAGGAAAGGATAACTAGAATCAAATCTAATCTAGGATTTACACAATCATACTTAAACTAGAAATGTTCACAACATATATATATACACACAGAGAGCTTAAGGGAAAGGATCCCCGTTTTTTGAAAAAAATGGGGATTAGGTGTGGGGCCCATTTCACATCTAATTTCAACGATCCGAACCGTTTATTTTGTTAGTCTCGATTCATAGATCATCCTTGCAAAATATTAGCTAAATTGGAAATGTTTAAGACATCTAATTGGGTTCAAGGAAATGAACGAATACTTTGATATATAAGAAAATATGAAATTTGATATTGATAATTAAATAGGCAAATGATTTCGGATTGAATTGAATTTTTGCAAGGATGATCTATGAATCAAGACTAACAAAATAGACGGTTCGGATCGTTGAAATTAGATGTAAAGTGGGCCCCACACCTAATCCCCATTTTTTTCAAAAAATGGGGATCCCTCCCCTTAAGCTCTCTGTGTGTATATATATATATATATATATGGATTTCACAATTTGAGAGGTTGACCAAAGGTTCTTGTTGCTCTTGGAGGAGCTCTACTAGTTATACTGTGGCCATTAGAAAATTATATGGCTAAGGAGGAGGAGATAGAAGAGTTGGGTTGGAAACAAGAAAAGTTGGCATTGTAATTTTAGAGATTGTGAAACCACTCCTACTATAGTGGACTCTAAAGCCTTATTTGTGACTATTTAATATTTATGCAGGAAGTATTTATATTCATATGCGTCTTTTTTACAAGTGCTTTTACTAGAAACAAGCTGAAAAGTTTATTAACAATTTAAGTTCTTGAAATATTATTTAATGGGGAAAGCATCTGACAGTTGCACGCTTCCGCAAAAGTGCTTAAATGATCGAAAACTTTAAACTTTTTTTCTTCTATTTGAACGGTGATGATTAAACCACATCAATATTTGATGTTGACTTTTTTATACAGGGAAAAACAAAAACAGAAAAACAAAAAGAAAAGTGAGAAAGGAAGGGACTGGACTGAATGAGAGAATCCTACTCCCACTTTGGCATGCAAAAATGCCATTATTCATACATATAGCTAGTCTTCAACTTGCCTTTTCATTTTTCATAGCGTCACTGGTCTTCCCAGAATTTCAGAACTTTCTGTTTGGAGTTATATTGTTTCCCCAGAGGATCGTACTAAATAAAGCTGCACATACATGCGAAGTAGAAAAATATGCAAAAAGATTGGTACTTTTTCTGAAAAAGAAACATTATATATATATATATATGGAAGCCCTTCTTAAGAGAGGATCCAATAGTGAAAAGAATTGGAGCACTTTTGAGGGGATACATACAAAGAAAAGAAATAAACTTTATACAACAATATTAAATAATTTAGTTTATGTCCAATCTAATGCAAGGATCATGAATAAGAAGAATTTAGTCTATCATCCAAATCCTTCTCATTATGATTATATACTTATTGTTTTTTAGATATTGAACTTTTTGGAAGTATATACTTTGTGTATTCTTCTACTTCTATTTTTTGCATTTTATTATTCTTTTATTATCTATAAAAGTATAGTTTTTTTAGGTGTAAATAGGCACTTATTTACAAGATATCTAATAAATTTACATAAATCCACCTAGGCCGCACTAAACCTCTGCCCGCCGTCCAACTAGCGGCAGCGTCTTTTAGAACCTTGAATATAAATGGACAAAAAATATATAGAATCACTTGATATGAAAATAGTTTAGATGTAAGAGATTGTTACCCAATGTTGGCCCGACTACGTGGTCCTCATTTCGGCCACCCAACCATCCAAAAGCCACTCATGGCCAGCAGAGAATCTATCGTAGTAGACATAAATTCTTCTCGCCCCCATCCTTTCTTTGGCCCTTTTGCGAAAGGCATAACAAGTTGCAATTGTGTTTCGATGTAGGAGTTGATGGTGACCATTTATGTTTCCACTGCTTAGTGATGTTATAGCCTCTATCCCATTTGGCATAGCATAACGTATCAAATCTCATGGTGGCGGCTGTGGACTTGGGGGCTCATCCAGTGGCCGCCCTGTGCGGTAGTCCCACACAACGGCGTTGGAAGCACGGATTGTCAAGGCTCGGTAAGGGGCCATGATTAAGGGTTGGTGTATGAGAATGGTGACTATTAGAAACGAGTATATGTTAATGGTTGGTGTATATATATAGGAAAGGAAGTTGGTAACATTAAGTTACTGGAGTTTGATCAAGTTGGTGATTTATGTTGGTGCATTTTTAATTTTAAATAAGATAATTATGGTTGTCATTAGTGGAAAATTAAGACAGTTCTCATTATTTGATATTAGTGGGAAATTAAAATTGTTGTCGTTATTTGTTGTTAGTGGAAAATTAAGATGGAGTCTTTTAGTCTTTCACATTTTGTAACTCTTGTAATCTTTTTTTGTTAATTTGTGTTTATTACCTTCACTAAGAGTGTTTATTCCTTCGCCAAGCTGTGTAAGTTGGTGGTAGTGCAGCGGGACCTTCAGTCTCAGAGGAAGGTGAAAAGTTGCTGTGGAAAAAACTGTGGAATGCGACAGTGCCGCGTGGTCGGGTTAGATTTGTCCCTCACATAACTCCCCTTATCTTGCATGTTGGGCAAGGTTTGTTTCTGCATCTTTTGTGATATACGTTTATTGTTAGTTTGAATGGTGCCTTTGTGGGGCCTTTATTAGGCCTTCAAGCTCACAATCAAAATTAACATGAATATGAGTGTGCCACTGTTCTTTTTGTTTAACAAATTGTTTACTTGGTTGTTTAGTTAATCAATTTCTTGCACCACAAGTCACTTTAACTTCTTGGATTATTAGGATTGTTCATAGATGTGTTAAGTCTGTATTAAATTCTTTTCTTGCCTTTTGATCAAGAACTTTCATGTATAGTGGTATACGTTCGTTCACAAAAGAGTTCAAGGTCACTCAAGTTAATTCCTTAATTATTACCTTAAGTGGATGGCAAAGAAACAAGAGTAATTAGTTTATCAGGGTTAATCATAACTAACACTTGAATGGAATTAGTTAAAAATGATACAAGGTTTAATTCAATATATAGAAATAGCAGATCTATTCTACGTAAATACAAATAAAGGAGATTCGGGCAAGATTACAACCTTGTTGGGCAAGGTTCATCCTCTTGCAGACACCTCTCCTTGTATTTGACAGTGATTGAAATCTTGGAAAAGGAAATATAAACGAGGTTTACTCAAGGGATTGATACTACAACAAAAGGAATGGTAGTAGAGCTTCTAAAACTGGACAAAAGAGAGCTTTTTATGGTAGACATGCGACTTGAAAGGGACAAGGGATGAACGAACTAAAGCTTTTTCTAATTTCGTTGTTGAGTGTATTGAGAGTTGCTTGATTGATTGGTTGAGAGAGAGACGTATGCTTGCGCCCTTCATAGCTTTTATAGACTTTTCTAGCCCGATTGTCCAAGCCTTCCCTTTTGGTGATGTCTTCCAGAGCACGGTGAGCCATCATCAGCCTTTGCTAAATTAGATATCCATGCCATGGAAAAGTACTTTTTGCTGAGGGTGAGTTGCCCTCTACTACTTGTCACTTCTTACATTGGCATGCTGCCTATTAGCCGCTAAAAATGGTTTTAAATTCTTCCTAAGCTGCCACATGTCCCAACCTAATTCTTTTCTGATTTTTGCACGCTTGGGCCTTTAATTGTATTGAGCCCAACATTAAATATTCATCCAAACACTGGGGAAAGCGAAGATTGCAGCTTGGCGGAGTTGCCTGGATGCGTTACCAACAAAAGCTAAACTAAGGCATCGGAAGGTCGATGTTGACGAGTTGTGTTTAGCATGTGGACGATGGGTTGAAACAATAGAGCATGTTCTTCGAGATTGCTCCTTTGCTGCGGCCGTTGGTTCGCAGGGTTAGGCTTGAGGATTAATGTCTTTGGCCACCTAAGTATAAGGGCTTGGTTGATACAAAGTGCTCCCTCTTTTCCTGTGGCGAAGTTTGAATTACTAATGATTTTATGGAACCTATGGGAGACGCGGAATGAACTATTATGGCAAGGAAAGCAACTCCAGTTGAGCTCGTTATGAATGTCAGGGAATCGTTGAAAGTTTATAAGCAACGGCAAGGTCAAAGAAACCCTCGCACTACCAGTGTGCGACAGAGATGGGTAGCTCCCAGTGATGTTTGAAGGAGATGCAGCTGCTGTTTTGGCATTTCTGGATGGTGTTTTTATGAGGTTCTTCAGAGCTTGCTGTTTTCTCTTTACCGCAGTTGGACCAACACGCTGCGGCCATATTGGTAGCCGCTCAGATGCAATTTCAGAGACTCCGTGAAGCAAAAGGCGGTGACGGCCGCGGTGCGGCAGTGCCAGAATTACCCAAGATAAAAATGTGATGAGGCCAATGTTTTCCGTTGAAACCTGAACGCAGGCGCTTCGTGCCAATCCTCAACCCCTGATGTCAATGAGTCATCACTTTACCATCACCAGATATATTTGTACTACGAATTAGACTTACTAGAACCAGAACCCAAACCCGAACCCCAGCAAAGAACATGGCTAAGAACGGGCGTGGACTAATTCTAAATGGCATGGGTTGCAGCAGGCAGCAAGACACCATGAACACAACAATTTCGAAAACACAACACTAATATTTTCTGGACAAGTCTTAAGGACAATTGAGTAAAATGGTTCGATGAAAATTCCTAACGCAACTAATGTCACAAAGAAGTGAAAAGAAAGGAAAGCACAAGCAGCAGATGCATATAGATACAAATTTCAGAATGGAGCTGATGTCGTTCTACGAAGCTGGTACTTTGGCTCCGGAGGCGGAGCACTCGGCAACACCTTCTCTTGCTCCTGCAAGGACACAAAGTAAAACGAATAAGATATCTAATATACAAAAAATTGATACTTTGTTTCGTTCTTGATTTAAAATTTAGAAAATTCTCAAGCCTGGTCTGAAAATTTTCTTTATTTTCAATAATATTTGAAGAATGGAGAAGGACAAATGAGATAGAAAGATGAGAGAGATGAACAAAATTTGCATCTCTCTTCTTGGTCTCATCTCCCTCTCCCCTCTTTCATTAGTTGATAATCCATATAGCTTTTCCATCAAAACCATACAAGGTAGAAAATGAGCAGTTAATCAAGGCGTTGTCTCAACGTCATGCAAAGTCAAGAACAAACTAGGCAGCAAGTTTTCTACCAGCTTGGAAAAATAGAATGCAAGTTGAATGAAAAGTGTAGATAATGAAAGGAGGAAGTAGATCCTCCAAAACAACACAAGTAGATAATGAAGTCCAAACTACAGATGAAAATTAAAAAGCGGGACATCAAATTTTTTAATTACTTTTGTGAGGAGAAACAAACATTTTATTAAATAAAAAGTCCAACAAATGTAATATTGGCTTTCAGACTATCGTTTTAAGGTACGATTCAGTTTGTTCTATGTGCTGCCCACTTTGAGTCCTCAATTAAGTTAAAGTTTCTCCACTCTCTCTTCCATACTTATTCCTAGGAACTAATTTTAGTTAACACGTGTAGAAATGGGTTGCATCACTAACAACTGGTACAAGAAGGCCCGAACATATGGATAATGCAGTCATCTTTACAATTAAAAAATTGGTGGCATGTCAACCCTTGCAAAGCATGCCACTCACAAGGATTTTGAAACAATAATCCCTTTCAGAATCTACATTCCAATCCTGTTAGAAGATCCTGACAGACATTAAACCCAATTACATCCCTTTACACCAACTTTCCCCTCCCACTCTCTCTTGCACTTTCACCAGAATAATTGGACAAGCATTCCTTCTTATGGCCAAACTTACAAAGAACCAAGTGCTCCTCAAAGGGATATGACTAGACATATTAGGATGCTAAATACTCGCACCCATTCCCCAAACCTAAAGCAAAGTTGAAAAGTAAACCCCGACACACTTCTACACCTCATCCACAATCACCACGTTCCAAAAAATCATGCCATGTCCAACTTTGCCCTAGAACTTAAACATTCATTAGAAACTAGGAGTATCTGCTTGCCAACAAAAGCATTGTGAGAGCAAGAAACAATCCCAATATTCAAGGTGGAACTAATAGTAAGAACATTCATCAGCTACTACACAAGCTACAACCTAAACTTACAAGGCTAAAACTCTAAACTACTAACTCTGGATCATAAGTCTTGAAAGCATGTCAGTAAAAACATTGATAATAATGTACTCATAACATCCTGGAAAATTTAATTGGGGTACCCAACAATTTACTCCATATTAACTATGCACCTTATTTTCTCGAAACTTCCTATCTTTACCATTTGAATAAGCTTAAAAGAGCAAAAACGAAAAGAAAAAAATAACTTTAATAAAAATGAAAAGAAGTCTTCCCTGCCCGGCGGTGAGTCCCCCCCCCCCCTGGGACTTGTCTCCCAGCAACACACATTAGGGTTGCAGGGAGGCCAGTCAGCACCAGAGCCAGAAGCAGAAGCAGGCAGTTTAGTATTTGTTTTCCTTTCAAAGAAAAAAAATGTTGTTTAGAGGGTAAACGGGGATTTTGGAGTTTACATAATAGTAGGTCGGTATAGTATGCATTGTAGTGTACCTATAGATTTTCCTAACATTATCTGTAACAAAACTTTAATTTATGGGGAAAATGGTCATATACGGAAGCCATCTGGACATTAGAGTATGATCAAGTGTAAAACCTTATCTAGACATTCAAACTATCTCCTCAATAATGCCACTTGTAAAGCTGCTTATAACTATCCATGAGTTAATGCTCATGAAAATCGTTGAGGAAAATCCTACTCATGCACAAAATAACTGCCTTAAGAAAAGGTATCACCCGTAAGTTTAACACTAGTCAGGAAAAATCCTCTTCATTAAGACAACCACATCAACTACAAACAAATGCGATACAAAGTTGTATTGGTTATTCTAATAACTAGCCTTAAAACATGCAATAAACAAGTGTGTGATGACTCAATATCTTCGAAATATTTAAATTAGTTAGTACATGGCTTTTCTTGGGTAGATACATTTGTATCAAACTCTGCAAATTTTGGAATAATTTAGCTAACTAATAGCCACATGTAAAAGAGTGGATGAAAAGGGATGAGCCCCCAACCCCTTTTAAGGTTATATTGTGCTATACATACCATTACCTTTATGCTGCTTCTTTTTTAATCCTTAGGTTGAATATCATCAAATTCCATTTAGCATTTATATTTAAACCGCAAATTCATTTAGACTCTTAGATTGTAATTTATACATGTACATCTGAATTAAGTGAGTACATGTGCTCAAATTATCAAACCTGATGAGGTACACTGAGATGCTAGGAGTACCAAAAGAACTTACAACATAACTCACAGTCTAGAGCTTCACACTTCATCCTTTAAAAAATATATGAAATCTTCTGACACAACTGTGCACATATCCGGTGGACACACGGTGACTGCATATGATCTACTAATCAAGATTGCAGTTCCGATATAATGGGTTATGTTAAATCAAACTTCAGGGTGAAAGACCCCAACCAGTGGAGGCACTGATATTAGGATAAAACTTGCCTTAGACTTAGCATCTAACAACGAAGATTCCCTTATATTTGAACATAAGTCGAGGGCTCTACCAAAATCCATGCTCAAATTTCACCAGGATATGAAGTTTCATTCATGAGATTGAGGCAATGACTGTTGCATACTCCAATCTTCTCCAGGAACTAGGAAAAAGTACAATAGATTCTTAACCGCCCATATGTCAAGGATTCTACCTTAGGTCCTAAACCCGGGCTCAAATTTTGCCCGGATATGAAGTAATATTCACAATATCACAAGGCAATTACTGTTTTCCTATTGAATAGAAAGGATCATATTCACAATCTGTAGGCCCTAGAACGGAAGTGGACTCCAATATTTTCTAGGAAGCAGGAAAGAAAGAACATTACATTCTTATCCATTATAAACTCACCCCTGCCAAAGTTTTATTTGTATCATATCGTATTTATCACTTCGTCCCCAGGTTAATTACGGCTATTTGTCCTTTCCCAAGGTTAAATGGATGCTTCTAGGGTCCATTAGTGGTTTACTTGCAGGATGGCATGGAAACTTCACGGAAAAGGTAAAAAGGGAATTGGAGAGTGACTCCTCCATGCATCTTGCTCAAAAGAAAAAGTACAGCTATTGAAGGGAAAGAACACTCCTTAAGGAAGACAATTGTACAGTCCTTAAGATGGTATTGATGAATGAACAATTAATGTTCTCCCTGTTTCCTTCATTTCTTTCATGAGTTTTTTTGCTTTTGATGTTTCTAATTTATTGAATACTGGATAATGCCCCTAAGAATTCTTCATGTTTTTCAATCATGCAGCTACCAATCTGTAATTTTATCAAACTCTAGCTACCAATTGGTCTGGGGTTCGACTCTCTCCCACGGTACCCACCTAGCAAATGCTAGAGTTTCTCGCTCCCCAAATGTTGTGGGGTCAGGCCCCGAGGGGGGGGTGGTGGGGTGGGGTGGGGTGGGGAGCGCCTAGTGATTAATTGGGTCAAAGATTCGGATACACTAAAAAAAGACAATTACCAGCTAAAGCATTTATACAATGTTTTTCAAATCTATCCTAATTCCTACATCACTGTTTCTCCACAATCAATGACTCTGTCATAATCATCCATTGATGAACTTAGTTAGTGGTGCCTGTGTGTGCATGTTTCAATTACCTGCAACAGGCTTGTATCTAAATAATTAAATCTGATGCAAAACAAACAACTTCCTACTGCCAAATGAAAGAAAAGAAGCCAACTAAGATTCTCTCTTTTCTAATGAGGAGGAAAGAAAGAGTTTTACTAATCGCAGTTGAATTAAAGCAAGCAACAATCATCAGTCACCAATTCAAGATGTATTAGAGAAATCAAATGAAACAAATACAAATATACATCATACTAAAAGAAACCTGACCTTCTGTTTCCTTAGCCTTTCATTTTCCTCCTCCAGGCGTGAAACTTTGTTCTCCAGTTCATTTGTATATGCCTGTTAACAGTTTTCAATGTTCAGCTAAAATTGCAAAAAGAAAACCTTGTGTGTGGACTTATAAACCAAAAGATATGAAATATTGACCTGCTTCCTTGCTCGCGAACGTGCAGCAGATTCCCGGTTCTTTATCATTCTCTTTTGCCTTCGCTCAACAGTCTTCTCAACTATGTCCTCAGGGTTGCCTCTTTTCCTCCCAGGTGTCTGCGTATCTGATAACGTACCCATTAAGGGTGAAGGCACCGCAACTTGGTTGTCAGGATACGGCAATTCCATCATAGCTCCAGCACCTACATGCATTGGTGGTTGTAAAGGTTGGCTTGGCATGTATACCCCCATCATACTTTGTTGTGGATGCTGATATTGTGGTTGTGGGTACTGCATCCACTGACCTTGTGGCAACTGTGCTGCCACATTTGCATCAACCCCAACTAGAGGATCAGCATATTTTTTGTCTGAAGATGCTTCAGCTTCAGCAACAACTCCGGCTTTGACCAAGAAATCCTCCAAAGTCATCTCTCCCAAAGTCCGTTGTCGTTCTTGAGATTTCTTTTCTTCTTCATCTTTGCTTTGTTGAATATCTTTCCAAACCTCATCAACTGTCTTCTTGCTCAATGCACTAGTTAATGACAGGCTTGCCTGACGCTGCAGTTGAGCTTGATTGACCAGTGTATTGCCTTCAATATCTATACCCATGATCTGATTAGCTTCAGCACTCCATACATTTTTTAGAAGCTCGTCAAGGTTCATGCTGCTGAGTGGCTTCCCCAAGTCACCTAACTGATTCTGTACCTCGTCCAAGGTAAGACTGTAAATTGAGTTTTGCCGTGCCAAAGGTTGGAACTGTGACTGTTTGCAATTACCATCAGCCCCACCTTGAGATCCCATTGTCGGTATCCCCATTCACCAATTCTTAATAAGAAATTGTCGATTACAATGAAAGTCTAAACTTTTAAATATACTAAGCGATACCATAGCTCAGCAGCTTCAGCCTTAAACCTACTTGAGGCAATCAACCTGAATATCAGAAACCTATGTCAAGAAAACTGAGATATTTCAGACTAAGAATTTTTTACTAGTTAACAACATTGTGTATGGTACGAATGCCAAAAGTAACTAAAAGAAGAATGACAACGAAAGTGAGTACACATCAACATGATTTGCAAATGAATACACACACATGCAAAATAAATTTGAATGACGGTTTGAAGGATCTCATCAGGTCATGTAGGCATGCAATCAGTAGAGCCATAAGCTGCTATTAAAAAGACAGAAAAATATGCTAGATTAATGCCCATAAAATTACAGGTTAAATTCCCTTCAATGGATAAGAATAGTCCAATTTATTAGAAAATACAAACAAAAACCAACAGATTACCAAATTGCAAATTCTTGAAACCCAAATCTAATCAAGATTAAAAAAGAAAAAAATTTAAAAAATCAGGGTCTAAACTAGCAGAGGGATTTACCAGAAACAGCTATGAACTCTTGCATGCAAGTGATTGAAGGAGTTGCATAGCCTCCATTTAACCCAATGCTTTCAAACCCTAAACCCGCAATCAAACTCTCACAAAAGAAAAACCCCAAAATCCAAATTTCCCAGAAAATCAAAGAGCACCACAATGAAGCATGAAAAATGAAATTACATCATTCTCCAAAAAGGAACAAAATTTCACAACATTACCTCACCACAGAAAAACCCAAATCCCAGAAATTAGATTTGCATGCAACAGAAATTAGTGTTTTTCTAATTAAAAGAAAAAAAATCACTGACCCAATTTCATTCCCAAATGCATGAATGTCTTTCCTCATAAAATAAAACAAAGTTCAAACAATTTTCTTTTAAAGAAGGAAGAATGACTGAGAGGACTGCCTGATAAAGAGCATCGGATACATACATACATATATATATATAGAGAGAGAGAGAGAGAGAGAGAGAGAGAGAGAGCACTCACTTTAGAAAGAGAGAGAGAGGAGTCCGATCTGAATCACAGGAAGAGTTTTGGGTTGAAGAGATTGTTGCTTGCTTGAGTGTTGAGGTTGGAATCATCAGCAGCAGTACTCACACATACCAACTGTATCTATTGTTGAATGTATCCAATTTGCAGAAAAACAAAACTAAAAGAGCGCAGTTGTAAGAGACAGAGGAGAGAGAGAGAGAGAGATAGAGAGAGAGAGAGAGGTTTCTGGCTTTCTGCAAAAACCAAAAATTCCCATTTTTCATTTTATAAAATTTAGTTCTTTTTTATCCTTGCTAGGCTCCTCTACTTGCGCCCTCATCAGTTAATTATGGGCTGCCAATTTGCTTGGTCCACTTGTGCCACCACAAAATGGTTCGTCTATATCATCACTCATTTTTATATTCGATATTAAATGTATAGATTAAATAAATATATTTTTAATGTTTTAATTTCAAAATTTTTATGTCAAATTCAACTGTAGGTAGGTATTTAGATAAGGTTGTTTGACCAAATAGAACAAGGCTATATGCCACCATCACAAAAAGTTATTCGATAAGGTGAATTACATTTCTGACTGAACTTGTTCAACTTACTCTTAGCTTATGAATCGTATTTGATTTATTTAATTCAATGGCTAAAACATTTAAGAGTGCAAAAATGGCTCCACTTTCTCTTACAACGAGCGTTATGTCTTACATAACATAATGGAGCATTATGACGTACACAGTGTTTAAAATATTGGTATCGATGAAATACCAATATGCAAATTTGTGAAAATATCGATGGATATATCGATATCGATATCAATTATTTTCAATAGAAATCATGGAAATTCAAAATTAAATTTTAAGGAGTGTCAAACACTAGTTTAGACGAAATATAAGAGTTTATCCGATATTTAACCAATATGTTGGATATATTGACAAAATATGTTGATTTTAGATTAAACTTAAGAATTTCTCCAAGATAAGGTGAAATCTAGACTTCACCTCCCTTTCCATATCTTTCTTTAATCTTTTTTGATATTTCCACTGAAATATCGACCTTATCTAAAAAATTTCAAACATTGGTCTTATGTCACATAATGGAGCATTATGTCTTGCGTAATGTAACAGAGCGTTACGTCTTACGTCACATAACGCTTCCGTTATGTTTTACATCACATAACAGAGCGCTATGTTATACGACACATAACGGAGCGTTTATGTCTTACGTCACATGTTCAAATCATTTGAAAATTCTAATTATTTATTACATCAAGTATAGTAATTTTTAGTTGATTACCCTCAAATCAAAAACTCCAAATTATTTATCACTTTTGAGTCGCATAGTTGAACTCAAATTTCTAACCCCCAAATGACCAAACATAAAAAGAAGAAATTAATTTATATGGAAAACATATTGAATGCACTGTTTTGGATTTTCTGACATAAATAAGAATATTTAACAAGGCTACATATCATTTCCACTAAGTGCTACTCGAATTTCATAAATAACAATTTCGATATCAATTTATTTGTTAATTTTATTAATATATAGTTACATTGTTGTTTTAAAAATTAAGACTATTTGTATTTAGAAAACAGTTTTTAAATTTGACTGTATAAATAAATTGAAATTGTGTATTGGATGATATGATTGCGGTACAGAAATAAGCGTGGGAAGGCAGGCAGGGGAGCAAGAGTGCGTGGACTCAACCCAAATAACGAGGGTTTTGTCCAGTAGTGATTAAACGCTGTGGAAGAAGTTGCGCTGGCCCTCTCTGTAGGCACAAAATCGAATTAAATAACTCTAATGCAACAGACAGTGGCCACGTGGCACTCCATGCTCCTTCTGCCTATTTGTATGTTTTGAGACTTTTTCAAGACTTTTTTATTTTTTATTTTTTTATACTTTATAGATTAAATAAGAACAACTAAGAAATTCAACAAAATTAAATAATTACCATGTCTCAATGCATGTGCGCCTGCAAAACTCCACTTGAAGATGGAGGTATCAAAGGAAAAGATTTTGATACGAATTGATGTTGAGTAATAGGATATAGATTTTTATTTTCAAATTAATAATTTAATTATGATTCGAATTGGGGGACAACACTATCAGGTACATGTCTATGGTCCTACTTGTTTAATTCGTTAGGAGGACTACACGTATTTAGGGGTGGTGTCGTTGAGTTGGTCCAGAACATTATATTCCTCTTAATTGCATTGAGTTGGTCTAGAATCCCACTTTCAATTTAGTTTCGTTGAGTTGGTGTAGAACTCGATATACTTTAGATTCCGTAGAGTTGGTCCGGAAGCTCACTTCCGATACGGTTCAGTTCAGGTAGTCTAAAATCTTATATTCCTCTAGATTTCGTTGAGTTAGTCAGAAATCCCACTTCCCATTCGGTTTTGTTGAGTTGGTCCAAAACCCTATGTTCCTCTGCATTTTGTTGAGTTAGTCACTTCCCATTCGGTATTGTTGAATTGGTTCGGAGTCCTATATTCCTCTATATTTCAAGTTGGTTTGGAATCCCACTTGTCGAGTTTCATTAAGTGATTTTGGAACCCTATTTTTTCCTGCTAGATAGACCATGATAAATTTTAGAAGTCACTGTAAATATAAGATGTTTTTGGAGCTTAACAAAAGGGTAAACTACAAATGGCTTGGTCTTATTTTATGGTACGTAAGCAGTCTAACTTTAAAAGTTAGATACAACCATGAAATTAGAAGAATTCATTAGTACTACGCAATTCAGTTCATATATTTAGTCACGTCTCGAGATTAAATTTTCAAAGTGACAATGATTTGTTCTATTCTACCGCAACCGTTACTGTTCACTTACCATAAACCAAATGAGGAAGGCCATTCAATTTAAGGAAAACTAATGAAAATGGCTTAAAAACTTTGAGTTTTAACGATAAGGACAAAATAAAGGGTAAAGTGAATAGTATCAGGTTTGACCTTTTAGTATAAAAATGTGATTTTTCGTTAAAGTAAATAGTATCGTGGGCTTTTCGTTAAAACTCCCTTCAATTTACTCATGGAAACAGCCGGCCCAAAGTAAGAACTGGGCCGCCCAAAACCGTCGCGCCGGATCGCCCAAATTCCCAACTTCCCCACTATTTTATTTTTAATTTTCTTTCAGATCGCTTAATTTTCTTCCAAACCCAAAATTCCCCCATTTTCCCTCGTTTTCATTCCTCAACTTTTCAATTCAAATTTTTGTATCTAATCCAGCAAAACCCGAATCTCAAATCCAATGTCCGCGTCGACCGTTTCAATAACGGCGAACCCGGCGACGACCCGGCGGCGACCCGTCGTGGCTTTCGATAAGAAGTCCTCCAACATTGAACTTGTCTCCGCCGAACCCCAAACCCACAAAGCCGACGACACCGCTACCAATTCTAAAGATCTGAGCCACTACTCCATCAGAGGCGAACCGGCTCTTGACCGGTCCGCTCAACCCAAGAAAACCGGCCCCAATTCCACCATTTCGCCGCCGTCCAGTCGCCGCTCTCGCAAAACCCTAGCCGCTGATCCCAAGCCTCGATGGGTCACCGTCCTCCGAGTCTTCTTCAAGAACTTCATTCTTCTTGTTCTGATTCTCGGTTTGTTTCAGATTGTCAGGAGACTCGCTCTGGGGTCTGGGGTTGGGGTTCCCATGGCGTTTTCGGACTTGGAAGGCCGAATAGTGGAGGTCGAAGCGTTTATGAAGACCACTACGAAGATGGTTCAGGTTCAGGTGGAGGTTGTGGACCGGAAGATCGAGAGCGAGGTCGGAGGGTTGAGGAGAGAAATGGAGAAGAAGATACAGGATAAAGGGGTTGCGTTGGAGAGTGAGTTGAAGAAATTGGAGGCAAAAAGTGAAGGGTTGGAGAGGTCGGTGGGCAATTTGAGGAGCGTGGAGTGGTTGTCGAAGCAAGAGTTTGAAAAGGTGTATGAGGATTTGAAGAAGAAGGTGAAGAGCAGCGAAGATGTCGAATTGGGTGCGACTTTGGATGACATAAGGGCCTATGCGAGGAATGTGGTTGAGAAAGAAATAGAGAAGCATGCGGCGGATGGTCTTGGGAGGGTGGATTATGCTTTGGCCACTGGTGGGGCTTCCATTGTGAAGCATTCAGAGCCATATTTGGTGGGGAAAGGGAGCAGTTGGTTCTCGAAGAGTACAAAAAATGGGGTTCACGGTGATGCTGATAGGATGTTGAGACCCAGTTTTGGAGAGCCTGGCCATTGTTTTCCCTTGAAAGGGACTAGTGGGTTTGTCCAGATTAAGCTGCGGACTAAGATCATTCCCGAGGCTATCACTCTGGAACATGTTGCAAAGGTGATGTTCTTGTTCACTATTTAGTCTTTGCTTATTGATGTGTTGCTTCTTTATCTTTTGTATTGGTTATGCTGGATACAATTTAAATTCTCTACAGTTTCAGAAATATGAATATTGTTTAAGATGTGTGTCGGAATTAACTCGCAGGCAATAATGTGCTAGGAAGTGTGGGATTGAGATATATAGTCAATGACCTTCACGCAAGAATAGATCTATTGTAGTTACTGTTCTCCGAACTTTGACATGTTTACTCTTTTGGTAATAAGTTGTTTCGGTTATTAGTTATGTTGAAGTAAAGGTTAAACTACAAGATTCCAAACTAGACAAAATGAATTCTTAATTTTGAAGTATTTTAGTTAATTTGTTGGTGATAGTTGATTTTTTTGTCATTTCATACGACATGTAACTTTAAATTTGCAGAAGTTCTGTAAGGGGTTGTGAAGTAGTCTAGGTGGATTATCTTTAGGCTGGATTTTTTTTTTTAACCTTAGATAATATCACTTAGAACAGGCTTTTCCTGCGCATATCTTGCCCTTCCTAGACCCTGCCTTCGTGGAAGCTTAATACTCTGAGGCTCTGAGCCATTTTTCAAGAGAGTTAAAATGGTTACTAATTTAGTAGAGCTATCCCCTTTTTGTTGAAGACTCGCATTCAGTAGGTCGAAAGTGTTTTTCTATCTACAAATTGAATGAATAAAGCATGTACTACACTGAAGGCTGTATTATGTGACATATACAAGAGGCAGAGGGGTTTTGTACTTGTGCATCTCTCACCTAAAGTGACAAGTTTCATTGCATTGCTGTACTCATTTGAAATCCTTTGCTATTTCTGCTATTAGTTCGTGGGCAGCTTTCGTCTGCCTTTACTTTAAGCAATGTGGTATGCTCTCTCACAGCTTGATTTGTATGTAGATATTTGTGCTGTGTTGTAATGACTTACATGTTTTTTTATATTGTATAATCCATACTAATATAAAAGCTCAAAACATAGCGGCTTGTGTAACATATAAATCTCTAAAGCATTTTCATTAAAATAAAATTATCAATACATGGAGAGTAATCTCAAACTCTATGTGGGGTTGTGTGTGTGTGCATGCGCACACTTGTATTTTTAAAGATCTCTAACCAGGTTGGCAAATTTGTGAATCAAGCCTAACCATTTTTTTGTGGGGTCCTTAGTCCTTACTAGTTCCACAATTGAAACCCTTTGAAGCTATGGATGACTTTAGTTATGTCCACAATTGAACTCTTTGTCCTACTATCTTTTAGAAACGCATCCTCTTAATTATATTAATATTTATAGATAGTTCCAAGTCTCCTTATTTTATGTAAGAAGTCTATGTATGTTCTGAGTAGTAGGCTGATAAAATTGAAATCAAGTCTTATTATAGTCGGGGAGCCTCTGAATTCATGTAGTAAAAACATACGATAGAGTTGTATGTGTACTTGTTCTTGTCTGTTTGCTATTATGCACCATGTTGTTTAGTTTGACTTTGACCTATAATATATGGAAATGCTTAGTCGGAAAAACATGTTTGATTTGCCAGTAAATATGTGGATGGATATCATCTGTTAGTTTCGGTAGGTGACAGGGATTCAGGAATGAGCTTCTTGTTGCTTATCGTAGGAAGGCTTGGGTTGTAAAATGTAGGCTAAAGCAGCAAGCAAATAGTAAAGTATTGAAAAGCAGAATCATCTAGTTACAGAAACTCAAATGATGCGGTTCATGAGGTCTACTATGAACTGGAACTTGTAATGTACCAGTGCATAGGCCTACTATGAACTGGAACTTGTAATGTACCAGTGTATACAAAATGGTCAATTAAGAATGGTTATCTTATGTGCTCGTGTTGTAAACTGAACCCAAATTCTTTTGGGCATGATATTTTGGTTTAACTGTGGATTAAATTAAGAATAAGGTGTTAGGAATCAAAATTAGTTGCAAGAATGTTTTTCTTTTTGTATGCGAGAAATTAATATTAAATATATGCGATAATTAATATTAAAACATGATAATGATAGTCTGTGGGAACGCGTTTCTGATTATTTCTTTTACCCATATTGGGATGTATTTTGATTGTAAACTTATTTTTCCTGTCCTTACTGGACCAAATAATTGCCTTTCTGATTAGTTATATAAACAAATTTACATATTCCCTTTGTCGTATGGTTCGGCATAACAAAATTGGTTGCAGATCTTGTAGTTAATCCTTCCAAATATCTTTAGTTAAACATGTGGGGATTTCTGTATTATTTGGTTACTTGAAAGCTTTGAGCGTAGACATCCATTAAGCATTTAAGCAAGAAATGAAACTGAATATTACTGATTCTATAACTGTACTCTGTAATTAACTTTGTTTACAATAAATTTTGAACCTGCTTATATATAATTCCTTTACATTGCCACTCTGTAGGATTAGTTTGAATTCCTTTTATGGTTTTGGTTACTTTGTTGATTTCTATATTCTTTGGCTACGGGGAAGCTTTAACATCTATTGCAATGTTGGAGTACCATGGCATGTAAACCAACTAACATGTAAAAGCATTTTCTCGTCTCCACAAGCATTCTGACTTCAGTTCACCACCATTGTGTTCATTAGCCGACCTCTTTGTCCTTGATTTTCTTTTCTATTGTGTTCATTGATAGCGTCCTTAAAAAATATGCTAACATATTTGTTTTTATATTTGAACAGAGCGTCGCTTATGACAGATCGAGTGCTCCCAAGGACTGCAGGATCTCTGGGTGGCTGCGAGGAGGGGATGATCCAGAAGTCTATACAGAGATGTTTCGCCTGGCTGAATTTACTTATGACCTTGAGAAAAGCAATGCCCAGACATTCAATACCATGGACTCGGCACTGTCTGGCCTCATTGACACAGTGAGGTTAGACTTCACATCCAACCATGGAAGCCCTTCTCATACTTGCATATATCGATTGAGAGTGCACGGACATGAACCAGACGTTTTGTCCATGATGGCCATGCAGCAGTAGCGTTAATGCCATTACCATGTTCGCGGAGCAGCATTCTTAGGCCACTTCTGTATTGAATATGAAGACTCAATACTTTTTTCGTTTAATTTATAACTTGGTAGGTAGAAATTTGCGGTATGTTTCTAGAGTTGTTGATATCGCGTATTGTCTCTTTGATATTTTTAGTTTGGATTCATGTATTGGTAGGTGTATGGTATTTTCTCTGTGTTTTCCTCTCTATGCACCAAGTAATGAAATCAGGCACGGGTTACAGGTATAGAAACAGAGAATTTTCTTGTATATTCCGGAGTATTATTGTGATTTGTCAATTTTCGTTTTTGTGTTTGTTTCTGCATGCTTCTTGTTCCATTGATGTGAAAGAGTACTTGACCTTGGACCTCACGAAGGTAGTTCCTCCTGTACTTCACTTCCAGGGTTGGCCGCTTCTTCGAACTTGCGACAAAATTGACGATTAGGAAGAGAGATTGTCATGAACGCAAAGTTTAGAAGGGCTTTGAACCAAATTGAAAGTTCGGTGGGCAAAGAGGAACAAGGTTTGAAGTTCAAGGGGCAATTGTAAAGTTGAAAGGGAGTGTGGAGTTGGTGGATTAATATGCTTATAGCCATTGTAAAGACCAGAGAGCCAGTGACCATCGAGCCTCTATAGCCAGATGAAGCTGAAGGCGATGATGCAAAAAGATGGAGGTAGCGGGAGGCCGCGGCTTTTGGTGGTTCTGAGAAGCGCCATGCTCCCTCCGGCCGGCTTTTGGTCGTAAAGACTTCAACATCTTGTTTTCCAGGGACCAGGACACAGAGTGATATTTGTGATTATACTTTTTATGGCACGTTTGATTGGCTGGATTAGGACTAGGATTGGACTATTAGCACTGATCCCAAACTATATCAAACATTGATTTATTTAGCAACTGGATAAAATGGTTGCGTTTTATGAGCGGGCTTGTTTTAGACCATTAAAAATGAGAGGCCTAAATAAGCCTTCAACTACATCTTTGATTTTAGTGTTAATTAGTAATTATGTAGTCGTGTATGGGTGAGTATGTCATTTTCGATTAGTAATAGAAGTTTTTACGAAATTTTGAAAAAACAACATTGATTTATCGATTTATATTCAGAGACGATGTTGATCGATTTTTTAACTTATGCATTATTCTGAAAAGGTAGATCAGTTTTTATGACAATTTTTAGTGTAGACTTTTTTAATGTTATTAAGACCATTTGTAATAAGTGACCTGAATTTTGTTTTTAGCCCTTTAAACTTTCTCTCGAATAGTTAGTTTGTCAATTAATTTTATGTATTTTGTCATAAAAAAGTATGTAGAAAACAAAATTAAACGTTAAATAAATAGGAAATGTTGGGTAAATAATTGATTTAAAAAAGATGGAGGTCGGAATTGAGGAGCGGGTCCTACGGTGGTGTGGGACAGATGAGGGGTGCCGGCGTGTGATCCATTGCGGAGGGAGGAGTTCAGCAGTAAGAGCCCCCGTTGCTCTGATAAGCCAACGGGCTTTACTCAACACTGAGGTAAAGAAATCTTCCAGCTACTCTTTTACAAGGCGGAAGGACTGTATCGCCGCCGCTGTGCTTATCGACAGTGGCCGGAAACAACTGTATCCGCTGTGCTTCTGGCCAGCGGCTCCGGCCTACGCTTCAGGGCGGCCGCTTCTCTTACATACCACGCGCGCGAACACCTGTGTCACCTGGGTCCACATCGGCACGCCGACAAGGGCCCACTAAGCCCCTCAAATGGATCCACACGTACCGTAGGTTGTCCACCTCTCAATCGTTTCCAAACCATCCTTAGTGCCCCCACTTGGGTCACAAGTTCACGCGACTGAACTCGGCGATCAAGTCTACACGTGTCAGGTATATAAAGAATGGTGCTCATGCTCAGCTGGTCGATGTGGGACAAAACAAAACAAATCCTCTTTCCCTTGTTTCACACATCAACGTCAAATCCTTGCATCTTCTTCCTTTTTCTTCTTTTCCTTTAAGATTCTAAAAGAAGGGGTGTGAGTAAATGACCAAAAGAGTCTGGTAATCCACCAACAAAATCCAAATCTTAAGTTTTGCCTCAAGATTCATCAGATTGGACTTAGAAAAACCTTCGTGGTTAATGGGTTCCAACCTTTGAAGTATAATATCTAGATCCCTCTAATGACTATAACTGTTTTATATCATATTTTAGAACATTTTTTATGTAGATGAAGTTTTGAACTGAATCATAAACCTCGAATGCTTCAATTCAAAAGCACAAATGTGAGAAGTTTTGCTAATTTGTTTATTACGCATACCAGAATAGCTTTGATGGATGACTATATGTCTTGGATTGTGAACGAGATTTTTCTAGCCGATAATCTTGCTTTATTTGGACTTTAATCTAGAGTAGCTGGGTATGTTATCATGCTTTTGAAAGCCTACCTCTTGTGTAGATCATTTTATTTGTTATAATGTTTCGGCCCATCCATTACTGTAACCAAAAGAATCGAAAATGTTCTTCCTTTTATCTTCCAGAAACTATAATTTTCTTGGTGCGTGCATTGCCTCTTAAGGCCTAAAGTAACAACCCAGGAAACATGCTCTTCCTTTTATATCAAATGCCCATACGTTTTGTATGCTTAGCCTTCCCCCTAAATGCCTAAAGTAATCCCTACTATTTGGAACGTAATGATATCTTGGATGCTTTGGGACCAGAAGAGAAGACTATAAATCTCACTAGCTGATGAGCGATGACTGGCTCGGCTCCTTCCAAAAAACTTCGCACCTTTCCGCTTGAAACGGAAACCTAGTCTTAGTTTCAAGATTTAACCTTTAAGCATATTTTGGTCTTTGATGCTTTGGTTTTGGGTTTGACTGAATTAATTAAAATGCTAGCCCCCAAAAACATGTTTAAAGATGATAGAAAGAATGGTTTCTCGACGTGGGAAAAAGAATGAAGGGTTTTTCTACTTTCTATGTTGCATGGTACGTAGTCAAAAGGTTCTTTGTTTTGTTTATATACAAGTGATATTTTCGGATGACAGAGTTCAAACACATGAGCTCGAATACAAGAGTCAACGTCCTTAACCATTTGAGTCATGAGGCGAGCCTGTCACAATGAAGGTTTATTCTTAACAGCACTCTCAATATCGTGGACAATGCAAATGAAGAAATAAATCATAACACGTACCTTCTACAAGGCTGAAGCTTTAAATTGAATCGCAAACCACATAATTTTTTTGCAAGTATTGCTTAATAAGCTAGAATGTAAAACCAAAAAGTAAGAATATTATTGGTGTTACAGGTTACGAATATATTATATGTGTATATTATATGTGTCTGTACACACACACTATATATATATATATATATATATATAGTATGTTTGATGCTTTGGGACCAGAAGGGTCTTCTCACTCACTGGTTTTTTTCAAAGAATCTGCACCTTTCCGCTGTAAATAGAAAGCAAGTCTTAATAATATGATTGATTGAACTATATTTTGACCACCCTTTTTTCTTGTTGCCAATATTGTGGTCCAAAAGGTTTGGAATAGGGTAGCAACAAAACGGCAAAGAGAGGACTAGAGAACCGGCGGAGTGGATATAATTTAGAGTTCATGAGTAGAACTTGTCCCTAAAATTCGACTTGTAAGAGAATATGGTGCTTTAAGAGTTATCAAACCATTTCAAGGTATGGTGTTTTTCGGAATTGGGTCCTAAGTTTGGGACTTGGAGACAACAAGCTCATTTATCTAATGTTATCGATTTATCCACTTTCAAAGAGAAATCATATTATTCTTTTAGAAGACCTAAAAATAGATGTTTGAATCGTTGAAATACATTATAGAATGACGTGTTAAAAGTATATGTCCTTGATATGATCCAAATTTATAATGTGGGACAATATTACTATTCAGTCTCATCACGACCATCATATTTGCATACTCAGAAAACATTATATAAATTTATTGAATAACCTCTTTTTAAATAATTATATAACTGAAAATCCTCATCACACCCATAATCCATCACAAACTTAACATAAGGCACAATTAGTCAAGATATTAGATCCAAACACAGTCAAAAGTGCAGATTAAACATTATATTCAAATATTGAGAAGTGTGTGTGGGGAATGGGATCCAGCAGCTTCAAGTTTGAAGTACAAAAATGTTGAGTCCAAAACATGTTGTCTGGGAGCCCCCTCCCTCGCTTTGCCAGCCTTGAAGAAATTGATCTTCCTTTTTTCGACATTGTTTTTGGTACCATCAAATTTACACATTTGTTGTATGCTTAATTAGCTTCTTCCTAAAACCAATACTTAGCATTTTATGGTTAAACAGTCGACAACCATTTCTTGTAAGCTGTGTTACGTGGTCCAAAGGCTTTGCCCTTGACAAACCCAAGACCAATAGAACTAGGGAACGAAAACAAAAGACTAGAAATGTGGAGCAAATAGAACTAGTTTGGTTCCATATAAGAATGCAAAAGTTGTATTGGAAGTTTTTGTTCTGCTCAATTTCAGTCCAAAAGGTTCTAGTTCTACATTAAAATATGAACATTTTAAAATTGAGTCAGTTGGTTCAATTTTACTGACAGTTTAAAATTGGTTCTACTTTACTGACTATTCATGATTTGAGAACCTGTTCGACGTTTGACCAGATCGATTTCAGTACAATATCGATCGAGATTAGTTAGTTATTGACAAATCAAGTTAGTTGGTTTGTCCTTTTAGACTATTTTTTATTTGAAATTCCAACACTAGAAAACGCCAATAGTGCGGTCCTCCTTTTGTCCGCAAGTGTAAATCGGTCTCCACAACCATAAAAGGGCTAAATGCATCTTAACCAACTGAGGTTTGGTGTGAGTTTTAATACAAATCAGATCACATAATATCAAAATTTTCACATTACAACTAGACTTTTGACATTCCTCCAACTTACATCAATTTAAGTTGATTGTATGGTCAACCATTAACTGCTCATGAATCCGAGCTAAGACTCACCCTCCAACAGTCAACCTAACAAAAAGGTGTAAAGTGGCTCAAGTTATTCAAAATTATCATGGTGCTATATGAAAATCAAAACCTCATAGTCCATCGTGAGATTGACCTTAAATTTTGATAAAGAGAAATGCAAGACTCTCTTAAAATAAAACTTTCCGTCACCTCATATTTAAAGCATAAAACTTTATATTGTCAACACTAAAATTGTGTAAACAATGAGGCGCCAAAGTATCTATGGAGAGTCCTACTTTTATAAAAATCTCCATAACATTTTCCACGTTATGTAAAATGTAGTTTAACCGTGAAGAAAGAAAGATTGACAATTGGCAAAGTGCACGATGAGCCCCAAAAGCCCAAACCTGGGACCGGCCAAGGGAATATTAAGGTTATTATATTGGCGGCAGCGGTGGCAACGCCTGCCGTACAGCCAGGAAACCATAACCCACAAACAAAGCCTCCCAAGTTTGACTGTTTGACGGAGACACACACATACACACGTGGGGCCTCTTTTTCCTCTGTCACACAAAATTAAAAATAAAAAAGACATTAAATAAACCCCTCCCCCTCGTTTCTCTCACCCATCAAGTTTTAATGAACTAGAAAGTGGGACGCACGAAAACCATGACCATAATCTGCTAAAATTTAAGAACAAAGTACCAAATAGATTTTTTCTCATTTAAAAATAGATCCGTTGATGATTTCGTTATAACAGTTCAACTATTCGAGAGATGAAGAGACAAGTAGCATGTAGATTTTCGAGAAAAGGGATCCGTTTCCTTCCTCTAATTTCCTAAATTAGAAAATTCGTGTCATTGAAATTTGATTTAACTGTTATAAACATGAATCTACTTTAGAAATTATAATGATTTCAACTGTTTGATCAAATTTTAGTAATACAGAATCTCTAATTTGATAAATTAGAAGAAAGAGATCCGGGATTTTCAAAACCAACTTTCTTCCGGAGAAGAAAACAAAGTACAAACTGACATAAAACAACGATTACTTCCCAAATCCCAATCCCAATTTCCAATTGTGTCTGGACTTTATTTGATGGGACATTTCACAATCTTCTCTTCCCCCTCTTTCTTTTGACCCCCCTCATCATTATATAATTATATTTGGTATATTTTTGTGTTTAAATTTATATGAAGAGTTATGTCGGAATTAGTGACTGATAAGATTTACATATATTTAACGTCGTGTTTTTTTTGCTATCATTTTTTTTTAAGTTGAGTTGCAGAACCTTTCTATTTCTTCAGATTGTTATACTTAATTTTGTTATAAACTGTTTTTATTTTATATTTTTATATTTTTTATTTTATCAAAAAGTGAAAGCTTCCATAAAAAGAACCACAAGTATAACCAGAATCAAATAGAAAAACAAATCTCGCCTTAGTTTGACACACATATCTCAAATGCAAGTGTCTTTACATGAAGACCAATACTAGTGCTAGCATCGGCTAAAAAAGGGAATATAAGTATACTCTTTTAAACCTCTAACACATATGTTTAATCATATCCGTTGATTTACTCAATTCAATTGCCAAAAATAAAGAGTAAAGTGAAAAGCTAAAAAGTGTGTAAAATCACTTTCTGATAGAAAATTTGCTTTCTTAAGAACATATTAAATGTCACCAAAAATTAGTTGAAAAAGAAATTGTAATACTTGAGAATTGTTATTTTCTTTTTCGTTTCAATAAAGTAATTCTAAACAAAAATAAAAATTGCAAAGCCAAATAACGCTTTAAATATCAAAAGATATATAAATTTTTTGAAGAAACATGTTAAAAATAATAAATAATATATATAAGGTCACGTTTTTAACATATATTTTGACACAAGTTTTTGTGGAATTCATCTAATGGTGTATCTCAAAGACCTAATTGTCTATTTTTTATGTCTTACCTAAAAAATTATGTACACTAAAAATCACTCAAATCCAAAACTATACGGTTGGATTAAATTTAGTGTTTCTTTGTAGAACCGTATTCGACCATTTTTCACTATAAATGAATTTCATAATTATTTTGGATTTGTCTAAATTTTTAGCAAGGATGATCTATGAATGATGTACTAAATACCGACGATTTGGATCGTTAAAATACATTGAGAAGTGAGCCCTATCAAATGAGTGTTAAAATGTGTGAAAAACGATATGTCTCCGGATCGTAACCTATATATATTAAAATCAATAAAAATATATTAAAAACACTAATAAGTTTCGCTCGTGAAATTATTTATTGCATTTGTCTTTGTTTGTATTGTCCATCAACAAAAAACAAAGGGAGAGGACTTTTCTTGAAACACCATCTATGGAAGAACAAGAGGTGGAAGTTTGAAGCCATCCATATGGAATATGCAGGTCTCCTTACCAGTCTTATCACGTTCAATTCTCCATCTCCTTTTTTTTTTTTTTTTTTTCTGGAATAAAAAATAAATTAAACAAACAAATCCAAATATTTTATCAAGGCAAGGAACAGGGAATCGCTTTGTCCAGTTGACTTTCTCGAGAAAACCCATGTTGCCTGTCAACTTGTTTCATGGGTTGGTTGTTCTTGTTGCCATTGCCACTCTTTCTTTATAATAATATATAAATATATACATATATACATATATATTATATTTATATAAGTTTACAGAGATCTCATCCTTCACCAAGTTCTGGTAATTTATGTTCTATTTATTCTGTCATCTGAAACTGAATTGCATTTGGGTGTTTGTATTTGATGCTATTTTTTGGATGTAGGTAACTAGAGTCTTATTCTCTGAGAATTGTATTCGTTTGTTCAATCTCAATATTTTACAAATATTCTCACGTTGTCCTCTTTGTTTTTAATCTATAATTTATTTTGTCCAATTCATGAAATTTCCTTCTTTTTTTTTTTGACGATTTAAAAGAAATAGGAGCAATTTAATTATCCGGTTTGGAAGGTTTTGATCTAATTGCAGTATAAATCTGTTATCTGTAGGTTTGTGAAGGTCTGTGAATAACAGTTGATGAAAAAGTTGCACCTTCGGAATGCCTGTCAGCAATCAAGACGTGAAAAAGAAGGTTCCTTTTTCTTATTTTTGTTTCCAAATTCTTCTTCTTTTCAATTTTGTAGATAAAAAAAATGGATCTTTCGGCAAACAGAATGGTGATTTTTTATCAGATTTTGTTAATTAATTGGATTTTGTGTTTACCCTTTTGTTTCAGTCTTTTATTCATAAAATCTTCACCACAAAGGAGAAAGAAGGAAGCGGCTCTTCGGATTTCTCAGGTGAGTAAATGTGTTTCTTTCTGGTTTCAATTCAATCACTTATCACCATTGTTTTCCAATGGAGAAAATCTAGAGAGAGAGAGAGAGAGAGAGAGAGAGAGAGAGAGAGGATATTCCTTGCAATTGGGGACTTATATTATAGTTGATGTTATCTTTCTTTTTGGAACCGCAGAATAGAATCCCATCTGCTTTTTGAAGGATGTGATTTACTCTTCTTTTTTTGAATGGATTTGTTCTTCTTTAACTGTTTGGTAAGATAGGGACATTGGTCCTACCATATAAGACATTTGGGGTCTTAAAATGGCGTTTTTGGTAAGAAAGATATCGATTGCTACAGAGAGAGGGAGAGCACCATGGAAATGTAATCTTAGAATATATTCATGTTTCAAATCTAAGCTACTGCAAGAAAGGTAGCAACTAGCAAGCATAAAAAATGTCCCTCTCATCCCCACCTCTCTCTCTCTCTCTCTCTCTCTCTGCTTCCTTTTTAACTTCCAAAGAAAATTTCTGTCTTGCTTAGCCTACAATTCTTATAAATTTGACATCTTACCATGAAGTCTTTACGTAATTGTATCCTATTTCAGAAGCACGGCAGTCTAACCCATCAGTTGACATTCAATCTATAAGTGACACAGGATCTCAAATGCCTGCCGGTCAATATGTTCAGTCCTTTCGGTAATTGGAATATCTTCTACAACTGGTTCTTGTTTCCGTCTTTCTATCCGCTCACAAGAATGCATATGCGCTAACTTTTGGCTTTTGCTTTCTCGGTTTTTTTGTTTCAGGGTTTTTGTGGCGACATGGAATGCAGGAGGGAAATCTCCTCATAGTGGCCTTAATCTGGATGATTTTCTGCAGGTTGATAATGAATCAGACATATATGTCTTGGGGTATGGTCTCTTTTTTTTTTCTTTTTTCATTTTCTTTGTGTTTGCCTTTGATTTTTATAGTTTCAAACGGATAAATTATTTTGACAATTTTTTCAAATGAAATTGTACATTTGGGTACTCGTTTTTGAAACCATCGGACTGATATGAGTCACAGTGTATGATAATGTGTCAAAAGGACAGGCACACTCGCTGTAGAAAGAAACTAGTGAATTTTTATCTTCTGCGTGTATTTTTTGTTTTGTCATATCAGTTTGGTACAGCCTTTAAAATGAAAATGTAATTCCATATTGTTTGTGCTTCTGAAGAAGATATTGATTGTTCATCTAATTAATTTTTCTGCTTTTTACCATCAGTTTCCAGGAAATTGTTCCGCTAAATGCAGGAAATGTACTAGTTCTGGAAGATAATGAACCTGCAGCAAAATGGCTCGCTTTAATCAATCAGTCGCTAAACAAATCACCTGATGGGTGTTCAAGAAGCAAAGCAGGTGGTTCACGATTTTCCCCGAAGCCTTCCCTTAAAAAGGTCAGTAAGACTTTTAGGACAGAGAGCAAACGGAGGTTGAAGAGTTGCAACTGCCCTTTTGAACTAGAAAGGAAACATAGTAAAGATTTTTGTTTTCGGTGCCAACAACCAAACATAAATGAAGACGACCTTTCTTCAGATCCAGATGAGGATGGATCTAATGCCTTTGATATATCGGAAATTTCCATGGCCTCTACTACCAACCAGATGAAGTACGGCCTTATAGCAAGTAAGCAAATGGTAGGAATTTTTGTTACTATTTGGGCGAGGAAAGAGTATATACAATATGTTAGCCACTTGAGGATCTCTTGCATCAGTCGCGGGATAATGGGACTTGGAAACAAGGTATTTTGTTAAAACTTTTACAAGCACCAGATGTCGGTTATACATAAAAAAAACCTTTTACAGTACATAGATGATTTTGTATACTGGTTGCAGGGATGTATATCTGTGAGCTTCTTATTCCATCAGACAAGCTTTTGCTTTGTCTGCAGTCACTTGGCATCTGGGGAGAAAGAGGGCGATGAGCTTAGGAGAAATCTGGATGTTTTAGAGATTCTTAAAAGCACTCAGTTTCCGAAGATTTGCAAAACAGCTCGTAGTAGGATGCCGGATAAAATTCTAGGACATGAGTAAGCATATTTCAACCTTGTTATTAAAGTACTGAACCCTTTTTATAATCCAACACTATTTTCTCACATTTATTGACACTAATTATCTGATTAATCTCTTTGCAAATGGATCTAGTGTGGTCATATGGTTAGGGGACTTGAATTACCGCATTGCTTTGAGCTACTCTGAAACCCAAAAGCTATTGATGGACAACAACTGGGATGCACTTCTTGACAAAGATCAGGTAACTGATTTTGCCATGAAAGAATAAGAAATTTATGTTGGGAACTGCAGGTACAACATAAGTACAATCATATCAGATCACATTTCAATCTTTCATGGTGTACTAATAATTTTTGTTTGTTTTTGGTTGCATATATAGCTCAAGATCGAAAGAGAAGCAGGGCGAGTATTCAAAGGATGGAAAGAGGGGAAAATCTACTTTGCACCTACTTACAAATACTTTTATAACTCAGACACATATTTTGGAGAGATAAAAACATCGAAAAAGAAAAGAAGAACACCAGCTTGGTAGGTCGACTGGAAGATTGTACTTACGGAACCCAATTGACATTTAACAAAGAAGTTTATTTGACTCGTTTAAAATTGCAGGTGTGATAGAATACTATGGCATGGAAATGGGATCAGACAACTTTCTTACATACGTGGAGAGTCTCGGTTCTCTGACCATCGGCCAGTGTGTGCAGCATTTTTTGTGGATGTTGTAGTTAATGAGAATGAAAATAAGAGGGGATCACCTAGCTCTAATATGAAAATCGAAATTGAAGAGCTTTTACCAACTGCTAGATACCAGAGAAACATGTAAGTTATAGCTAAATTTGGTTAGTTCTTTGATTACCTACCGTTAAAGGTCCTTTCCCTGATCGTCCTTTTGTATTGTCAGGTACTAAACAGCTAACCGTAACCACTGAAAGTTTGAAGAAATACCCAGTTTTGCTTATCTAATGAGATGACGTAGGTTTAATGATGCAGAGTTTATTGCAGCACTGAGGTGCAGAATAATTCTCCAACAAGTGAGAGATGTACTGTACCGAAATAGTTGACCTCTCCTGCAGGCAATATGAAGTATGTTCTCTCACGGCAAAGATGCTCGGCTTTGGATATATTCGGATTTCCTAACAAGTTGAAGGGGAGATATTCATAGGTGACAGATTATTGTGTGAATTTCGGCTGTCTTTGTTCTTGTCATATATCAAAGTGTTGGTTACAATATTTATTTGTAGACATTCCCATTTCTCTTGCCTAAATTTGGGTCAAAAGAGAATGGAGCTGATGATATAAAATTGCTTGATTCACAAGCCACCTGGTCTTATCTATGATCTCATTGTGTTTAATGCGAGTGATACTAGGAGAGCGTGGAATCGATCACGAAACTTCAGATACACAAAAGGGCTCTAAACACTTAAGCTACAACCCTTTGCATGATCTCAACGTGTTTAACTGGGCGAAACATTTTAGGTCGGTGGTGGTGAAGGTGAGAATACACCATATGGTAGTTTAAGTACAGGATTATAGTATTAAGCAGCACATTCAGTTTCAAACTTTGTATGCAAATTGGCATTGCATTCGTAATCGAACCCTTTTAGTTATAAGTTGAGTGTCAAATTTTAAGGCCAATGTACGGGTGTTTTCAGAATCGGAAACCATGTGTTACCAATATCCAATCCCAAGTTTCGGACTAGGACTAGGTTGGAACATAATTTTTAAATTCAGAATTTTTATAAACTTTGGAGTTAGAGTAATTTGGGAAATTTCGAAACATTATTTGGAAGTTAATATGTTTTACAAGTTTTATTTTATTTTATTTTATATTTATTTTTAGGTTTTTTAGCCAAAATGGTCTCTGAGATTTGCATAATACATCACTTTGATTCCTGAAATTGAAAATCAATAGAAATGATTCATGAGATTGTCCACCGTCCATTATTTTGGTCATTCCGTTAAGTGTCCTGGAGGAGCTCTTAGCCAGAAGTTTGGACAATTTTCAAAGCTTCGTAACTCAATAGTTTCTTAATCAAATTTGACCTATAAAATCAATAGAAATGGTCCCTGTCCACCATTCATTATTTTCGTCATTCCATTCAAAACTCCGTTAAGTGTCCCAAAGCTCTTGGCCGGAAGTTTGAACAATTTTCAAAGCTTTGTAACTCAATCATTTCTTAATCAAATTCGACCCATAATATATCAAAATGAAGATAGAAAAGTGTAGAAAAAGATTATACCTATTTGAAAGCCCAATAGTTGCCAGATATAGACGGAAAATAGCCTGAAAGGTGACTGGAAAACTTGCCAAAAACTGGGTAAATTTTAAACGTTCATAACTTCTTCAATAGTCAACAAAATCGAGTGATTCAAAAACGAAAATCATACTTCTCGACAAGACAAAGAGAATGGTACTTTTGAGCCGTTTTCCGGCCAAATCACGACGAGTTAGCTGTCAAGAAATGTACCATTCTCTACTTTCGAGCAATTTTTGGCCAAATCAAGATGAGTTAGCTGTCAAGAAAGATGCCATTCTCTTCGTCTCATCGAGAAGTATGATTTTCATTTTTGAATCACTCGATTTCATTAAGTATTGAAGAAGTTATGAATGTTTAAATTTTACCCAGTTTCTGGCAAGTTTTCCAATTTTCCCGGGGACCAGTCACCTTTCAGGCTATTTCCGGCCATCTTCAGCAACCACTGGGCTTCAAAATAGGTATAATCTTGTTCTAAACTTTCCTATCTTCATTTTGATATATTATGGGTCGAATTTGGTTATGAAACAATTGAGTTATGAAACTTTGAAAATTGCCCAAACTTCCGACCAAGAGCTCCAGGACACTTAACGGAGTTTTTAACGGAATGACCAAAATAATGGATGGTGGACAATCTCAAGGACCAAAGTGATATGATGCAATTTTCAGGGATTATTTTGGCTTAAAAACCTTTTTTTTTATAATCTAGATAGAGAAATGGAGGGTTTGAACATGTGACGTAATATGTTGAAAATTTTGACCCTATTCACCCCTTTCGGATCAATGTAATTGATGTTTTGGTTTTGTTCCATGTTTAATTTATGTGGTTGACTGATTAATGTTTCTTTACTGTATGAATATCATAATTGAAAATATTCATTCTCTTTAACTTTTTTTTTTGATGAAAATTCATTATCTTTATCATTATCTAAAGATCATATATACAAACAAATTTATTAAATTTAGAGACCATTTAGCTATTCATATACATCAAATAATGAACATCATAACCAGAATAGTTCATTCTCTTTATCATTTTCTAAAGATCATATCTGCAAGAAGTCATTCAATTTGAAAATCGTTAAACCATTCATATGCATTAAGTAAACAGTGAAAAGACATTAATTATAAGTTCAGGGATAAGTAGGTTTTCATATAAGAAACACAAGCATTGTCCATCCTGAAAAGCTCCATAATCTTGTGCACTTTTAGTTTGGCCCTAAAACAATCAGAAGTCCAAGTCTAACTGATCCAAAGAAATAGTGGCAGACGCAGAAGCATCTGAACAAACTTAGTTTCAAAAATGGATCTAAGGATTTAAAGCCCTAGTTTCAATTGGCAAAGTTTTTCGATCAAAAAAAAAAAAAAAATGGCAAAGTTTTGTGCACATAACTTGGAACTTTCCAACCAAACAAGACATACAATTGTTTCCCTTCGTATTATTTCACCACCACTCATAAACTTCCAACCAAAGGATCACAATTCTTTTTATCTTTATTTTTTTTAGTTGAACGATAACGTTAGTAGGTTAGAAGTTAATTATTAGAGGAAAGAGAGTTAGTGGAGATCAAATTTGCACTAAAGTGCATAAACCTGATGCTTTTCACCACCCTGATAAAGCGCCATCTGCATTACAATTCTTTAATCACAATTGTTTGGACAAGGAGGTCACTATGTTGCAACGTAGTGGTGCAAGTGGTCCGTGTCACTGTTTCAATTGTTTTTTTCTCTACAAAGACAACTCCTTTGTCAATGCATTTTTCTGTCATAACATTACTTCGTAGTCATAAACTTTTCTAGTACAGTGACACCCACGTCGTATATTTTGCAGTATAGTAGGGTGTCATTGTCGTTGCAATTCTAACTACAATATTGACCTTGGCTTTAGAGTTGTAAACGGATGGATATTGGCTGAATCGTCTTATCTTTGATCCGATCCGATACGAAAAATATTGCAACTCAATTTGATCCGATAATTCGACGGATCCTATACAACTAAACTTATATCCGATTTTGTACAATTAACGGTATCGAATCCTATACGATCAAAATCAAAGAATTTTTTTTTTTTATCTGGTAGTGAGACAGAAATTCATTAAAAGACCCAACTAGGCAGCCAACACTTGGCCCAAATACAAAATATGAAGTTCCAAAAGAAAAACACAGAACAAGCTCACCACCAAGGGTGAAGAAGCAGCCACGACCGACGGAGGAAGAGCCGCCCCGAAGGGTGGCATAGAAATCGACCAGCAGTACAAAACAAGCGTAGGGAAGGAGAGAAGTTTAGAGAGGGAAGCCTTCTCTCTCTCTCTCTCAAACGGGCTCTCGAGAGAGAGTCTCTCAAACTCTCTCAAATCAAAGAACTGTTGCGAAATAGATATTAACAGTGTCTCCCTTTCTTTTTAAGATAAACTCAAGAAGCAACTAGCAATGCCACTTTATTGGTGTTAGTTTCTAAGTTACATTCGTTGCAAACTCAAGAAGTCACTGTTATAGCTGCCTCTTATAACCCAATTGAGCGCCACTCCAGTTGAACACACCCATGCACCCCACCTTACGTGATCTTGTCGGCCCAAGCATGTTGCCTTTAACGTGCCCTAGCGCGCGTGTCCCTCTGCCTATGCCCTCTGACATGGTCCAACCGACTCTCCCTGATGCTACCCCCTCCACCGTGCAGTCCGTACTCATCCAATGGCGACTTGTCTTCGTGATGGAATCTCCAAACCGAAGACTCGTACTGAGGCACTGTTCTTCCTTATGCTTTCTTAGCGTCTATTAATTATGGTGAACCTACTTGTTTTTCTCATGCCCCTAAGCATCCGGAATGGTGCAGTGCCATGATTGAGCAAATTAATGTATTGCTTCGCAATCAGACATGGTCTCTTGTTCTGCCCCGACCTGGCCAGAATATTGTTCGTTGCAAATGAGCTTTTTGTATCAAGTGGAATCTTGAGGGCTCTATTGAGCGCTATAAAGCTCGTCTTGTGGTTAAGGGTTTCCATCAGTGTCGTGGCATTAATTATTTTGAAAAGTTCAATCTCGTTGTCAAACCAGCTACTATTTGCACTGTCTTGAGTCTTGCTATTTCTCATGCTTGGCCACTTCGTCAATTGAATGTTAATGCATGAATGCATTCAGGAAGATGTTTACATTGCTCAACCACCGAGTTTTGCGGATCCTGCTTGTTCGCATTATGTCTGTCACCTTCAGAAATCATTACATGGGTCTTAAAGAAGCACCTCGTGCATGGTTTCACAAAATCAGTTCTTTCTTGTTTCGCCTCGGTTTTCGGTGGAGTGAAGGATATTCTTCACTGTTTATTTTTCGACATGCCTCCTCTACTATTTACTTGCTACTATATCTGGATGACATCATTATTACTGGCAGCTCATATGATCTTCTTAGCCAATTTACTACTCTCCTTGGTAAATAGTTTAACATCAAAGATTTGGGTCCTCTCAGTTATTTTTTGGGTATACAAGTTACTCTTGACTCCACTTATATCTCCATATTAATCAACTAAAGTATGCTCATGACCTCCTTAAAAAATTTGATATACTTACGTTCAAGCCCACATCCACGCCCCTTGCCGCTAAGATTTCTCTCACGGCTTCTGATAGGTCACCCTGGCTTCTCTTACTTTGTTTCGTGAGCTAGTTAGCTCGCTCTAGTATCTCACTCTCACTCGTCCTGATATTTCTTTGTCGTCAATAATATTGCCCAATTTATGAGCTCGCCTCACACTACTTATATGATTGCTGCCAAATGGATTCTCAATTACATAAAAGGTACTTTAGATTTTGGTATCACCTTGACTCATCAGGTTGCTTCCGCTACCCTATCTGCATATTCTGATGTTGATTGGGCCGGTTTTTTTGACATCGTTCATTTCACCACTGACTACCTTGTTTATCTTGGCTCAAATTTATCTCTTGGTGCTCTAAAAAGTAGGTCACATTCCAGTGCTGAGTCAGAATACTATGCTCTTTCTCATGCATGTGCTGAAACCACTTAGATTATTTTTATACTTTACGAGCTAGGTGTTCGCCTATCCTTGTCCTTCTATATTGAGACAATCTTAGTGCCACTGGCCTCGCTTCTGATCCTGTTCAACATGCTCGCACACATTATATTGAACTCATTATCACTTTGTTCGTGAAAAGGTCACTCTTGGAAGTCATCAAGTTTGTTGTATTTCGTCCACTAATCAACTTGTTTGATTAGCCTCGTTCAATTTGCAGGGGATGGGGCGCAGTCTTAGAATAGAATTAATTAAACCATAACCTCTTCATAATTATATGAATGTACTTATATAATTGTATTAATTTTTAGAATTTCTTTCACATATGGGTTATGTCAAACCTTATATATATTGTAAGTTCCATTATGAATTATTAATTCAAGGAGTCATATTTCTACAATTGCGTAAACTTTTTTAAGAAGCAATCCCAATCAATGTGATAATTGTGACAAAAAATAGCGACTGTTGCTCATTTTTATTGTAGTGAGAGTGAGAATGCCTTTACCAAAATGAATTGGTGTGTTCTAACGTTTACAAGAGTCCCTATGTATAGATATGAAAGTTTACAAAGTATGCTTTAACACAAAGCATTACATGCCTGATCAAAAGTCTTGACTATCGTATTGGTCAAAAGCCAATAAGCCATGTAGTAATTATAACAAATATCTCACCAACATTGCTATTTCATCCACCATCTTTTACTATGTGGGTCATCACAATTCTTTCAAGTTTCACAATACCTATTATTGATAATGAATCACACATTAATAAGAGAAGAGATCTTGTATGCGCGTATAAATAAGTTAAGTTTTTATATGGTCAATTGATTTATGGTGAAACTTTAACATTTTACTTTTACACTACAAATTTATTTAATTGGATCTTAGTCAGTGAGTTTAAACTAAAACAGAGGAAAAATATGGTTATTATACGCAAGAATAAAAATGAGAAAAAATAACCATGTGTAATTTTAATAAACCACATAGTTAATCTTACTCCAACATTGCTATCATGAGAAGTGACTATGAGGAGAACCCTTTTAAATTTTGGACCCTATACGATGACACCTTTCGCTCTCTCCAAAAGCCGCCACCAAGGATTGGAAAGGAATAGATAACTCTTTAATTTCAAGGTAGATTGAGGGGAGAAAGAGAAAATTTATGCTACACTAGAGAGTAGAAAATGAATTGCTTATAAAAGAAACTTATCCATTCTAATGGTCTCTAAAACAATATCTCTAATCCTCGTCTAATTCACTCCAAATAAAAAATCACTTCTATCATCAATATCCCATAAAAAATTACTTCATCCCCTTGAGGTGTGAAATGTAGTTAGCCCTAAAAATACGATGGAGCTAGATTAGGAGTATGTGCTACCTTGCACGTTCTCAGATGCCAACACAACCGCATTACCTACCTCTGCATTAAAATTGCTGACCTCTAAATTGTCAAAACCGACAACCCCATTCCCCTACTAATAATGTACACGCGCATCCCTGCATATCTGCATCTCTCTCTCTCTCTCTCTCTCTCTCTCTCTCTCTCTCTCTCTCTCTATATATATATATATATATATAAGAGATCCCCAACACACATTTTCAAACACTCAACTCAACCTAGAGCGGCCCCCGCCCCCCACACCCCCCCGGCGGGAAAAACAATACATTTTCACACTCAAAATGCCACGGCTACGCTCCTCTCCTTTCTTCCACCTCCTTTCTCTATCCCTCTTTTCACTACTTCTGCTAACCTCTGGTGCTGCTGCATCATCCTCCTCATCATCCTCTTCAGCATGCAAGTCCACCCTCTACCCAAAGCTCTGCCGTTCGATGCTCTCCACCATTCGCTCCTCACCGTCCGATCCCTACAGCTACGGCAAGTTCTCCATCAAACAATGCCTGAAACAGGCACGCAAAACCTCCACAACAATTAACCACTTCCTTGGAAAAACCAAGCACAAGTCGTATTTCATAAGCGACAGCGAGTCAAACGCGCTGGAGGACTGCCAGCATTTCTCGGAGCTGAACGTGGAGCACTTGGAGGCGATCTCGACAGAGCTCAAGTCCGCCGAGACGCTGAACGAGGAACTGGTGGACAAGGTGCAGACGTTGCTGAGCGGCATTGTGACCAACCAGCAGACTTGTTACGATGGGCTTGTGGTGTCTAAGAGCAGCGTTTTGGGAAACACCACGGCTCTGGCCGTGGCCTTCTCTAATGTTACGCAGCTCTATAGTGTGTCGCTTGGGTTGGTCACGCATTCCTTGGCTCGTAATCTCAAAAAGCATAAGAAAGGCAGTGAGGGCTCCGGCACCAAAAATGTGCACAAATTCCGGGTATCACTTGAAACTTTCATTAAGGTAAAGCTTTTGAGTTCATTTTTCTAGACATTTCTTTTTTTTGTTTTTACAAAAATGTTAATTTTACCATTTATTTGTACTATTATTTGTATTATTTTTCTAATAAAAATGAGACTCACATGTATTGACGGACCTACCTTGATTAAAAAGATAGTACAAATGATAGTATAAATAGATAGTAAATGAAGTATTACCCATTTTTTTACTTTTTTTTTCTGTGATAATTTTGATATATATGTCAGTATCCTAGTTAAGATTTTAATATATATGAGACTCACATGTATTGATGGGCCTACCTTGATTAAAAAGATAGTACAAATGATAGTATAAATAGATAGTAAATGAAGTATTACCCATTTTTTTACTTTTTTTTTCTGTGATAATTTGAATATATATGTCAGTATCCTAGTTAAGATTTTAATTGGATAAAATCTTGTAGTATATCTGATAGTCAGAGGCTACATGCTTATAGCTTTGTTGGACTATTGGGTAATAAAAAGGGAAATTGTTGGGAAGAATATTAGAATATATTTGTAAATCATATAATGTAATGGTTGATAATTTGACTCTGTTTATAATAATTTAAAAAATAAATTCAATGATTAACCACTACATCATATAGTCTACAATATATAATATAAAAAAAAATCCTCTATTGCATTACCTAATAAAAAATATTGTTGAATAACAATGCATGGAATGAAACTATATACTAGTGTAATTCGGAACCCAAGAAAGATAACAAGTGTCATTAGATTATATATAAAAGGTACCAAAATGGCAGATACAATAGAGCATCTGGGGATGTGACACTAGATTTCAACAAACAAAGCACACTACTTAGGCTGTTACAAATTTAGCAGCAACTCCTACTTGTATCTAATTACAGATATATATGTTTAAATAATTAAAATTCTAAATATAGATTGGACACGTGTGTTATTTATGATTGATTAGAAGCAGGAGCTGCTATTGAATTTGTAACTGCTATTGAATTTGTAACAGTTGAGTAATGTTCACAAACAAATAGCAAGACTTTCTAATAGCATCTTTAGATATCAAATATAATATGTCAAAATTTTATTTAATGACTAATGTGGCCAATTGTATACAAATGTTAAAATTTCTTCTTTTTCAATGATCCATCAAATCTTTATTTTATTATTATATTGAGCCTCATAGTTACATTAACTATTAAAAATAATTAAAATTGATTTTATTTTTTTATTCTTTTGGTTGTTAATGGACCCATGCTTTAACAAATTAAATTAAATATATTTAACTTCTTCTTTGTATGCTGTAAAAAAGATAGCTAAAAAGTAAGAAGTCAAATGACTCAGCTACTATTTGGCATATTTGACATCTCATTTGAAGATGGTCCAATAAATATTGTGGCAGTTGAGAAAAGAATTAGAAAAATAATTTTCACACACCACTTTAGCTTTCCATATATTTTTATTTTTAGTTTTAACCATTTGTTTAAAAAAAATCAACGTAATTAACCACTAGAATTAAATAGGAATGTGTAAGAAGTTAAAAAGGCGTTTTTATCATTTCCCAAAAAATTATAGAGTGAAGTAGGTTTTTGACTTACAATTGGGAAAAATACTTGAATTTTTATATTATGTGGTTTGGTGAATCGTATGTTAGTATCAATTGATATTGTTTACATAAAACTTTTATAATGTCATTTAATACACAAAATTGAATATTGTATAATTGAAATACACATAGAAAGAGTGCACGATGACATTTTAAGAGTAAGAGTAACATCTCATCTTAATACCGTGAAATGTAATAGTAGCTTCACTTAAATTTCCAACTTCTCATGTTATTATGCAAAAATTTCCAATTTTTCATTTAATTGATGATAATGAGGTTGTAAACCCATGGTTACTCTATGAATTAGAGCTTCTTAATAAAAAGAATCATAATTAGAGTCACTATTTGTAATTAACTTGTATATTTTTTTTCTCACAATCTTACCCTTCAAATTGTGAGTTTTATTTTTATAAAACCTTAAATTAGTGTAAGATATGGAGTTCATAGAGACTTAATTTGAGAGGAACAATCACATAGTAGATAGTACATCATAAAGATACCTTCTCTACTATTATTTTTTTTATTCAACATTTTTGTGATTTTTTTTTTTTTTTTGCTCGAATTAGAAAACTCAAGTAGGTGCAGAACAAAATGTTCTAAGTCAACTGAGCTACAATTTGTTTTTTTAAATAGTTACGAAATATTGTTTATCGACACAAAGATCTCAATTTATGGTTCAATTGTTTATTCAAGTCCAAGTGGGTCTCTGTGTGATAGAAGTAGCTAGATCTGGAGTAATGGAGTCAAAATAAGAGGCCCTGCCAACCGATGTCAATTATTGTACGTGCATAACTTGTAAGTAACGTACGTCACATGGTTTCTGCATATCGATCGCGATGCATTTGCACCGTCAATGGCCTCCCCCATCAAATGCAGCACGCCGCCACCACCACCACCCATCCTTTTATTTTTCTGGTCAACTCATCATCCGATCATACGACATAAAAAGATTCTTAACATGTTATCAGGGTAATAAGTATCTTAATAAGTGACTTTTGTATGTCTTACACAGTATTAAAGAGCGATTCTGTTTACAACCAAATTTTAAATACAAAAGATATTTCAAAGGTTGGTTTTAATTAGTGTTAATTATGTTTGGTGTCCAAAAAAACTTAAATTTTGAGATGGGTGTTAAAAAATTTTACTGTCCAAAGGTGGCATGTTGGGTGTAAACAAAACTCAACGTAAATTGATGAGTGAAAATCCGTATTGAATTTAGGTCATGTGCCAATACTAGTATATTATGCAGTGTACTAAAACAATAAAGTAATCTGTAAATATGACTAAAATACTCAATATACTTGCACAAATTAAAATTTAACAAATGTGTACAGTACGGCTACAATGTATAGAACAAGCTTAATCACATTGACTACAAATCCAAACCATACGTGTAATATCGTTTGATCAACTTTAGATATATAATTAAGTATATGATCATTTAGTCTAGTGGCTAATCACTTTAATGGAGGAGACCTGACTTGTGAGCTTAAATTTCATGAACCATAATTGATAAAAGAACAAGTGATTACGTAGAGATTCGTGAGTATCTAAGAATTCATTTGAATAAAAAATAAATTGCAGGCACTTCGGAAAAGTTCTGGCAAAAACTCGACGACTTCCGAAAGAGGTGAGAGGATTCTTGAAGAAATGGAGAGCAGTGGCATTCTGGTTAACGACACAGTGATTGTGGGTCCATATGGGACGGACAACTTTACATCGATCGGAGATGCTATTACTTCTGCTCCCGAGAAGTTGAAGCCTGAAGATGGCTACTTTGTGATCTATGTTAGAGGAGGATGCTATCATGAGTACATTGTCATCGCCAAACACAAGACTAACATAATGCTGCTCGGAGATGGTATTAATAGCACTGTCATTACCGGAAACCATAGTTTCGTCGATGATTGGACTACCTTCAACTCCTCAACCTTTGGTAAGAATTACATTTCTGCTAGCTACCTCTTTCTCTTCTGGCCCTCTTGAAATTAAAGTGCGTATAAAAATTATTTGAATCACATTCATCCCACCAAAACCCTAGTAGGGGCTCAAAAAAACTGTTGTGCCTTGTCACGTGACAGTGCTGAGTGACAAAATAGTTTCAATTGAAACATGACATGTATCCAAATTTGATGATAAGTTTTGTTTCTTTAACACGTCATTTTTAAACTTGATTATTTGGCCAATGTACTAGAGAAAAACTCTACATGCATGGTTCATAATTTTCATAATCCTTATCGCCTTCAGGTAGTAAGTACCTGTCGACTTCTACTTCATTGACGACTAAATATCGTCAAACTTGTGTAACATAGTGAAAATTAGTTTGAACACCTGTGAATTGAGTATTAATTATTTATGTTTTACATGCTTAATTAGTCTGAAACTCAATGATTTGTTGTGTTGCAGCTGTTTCTGCGGAACGATTTGTGGCCGTAGATATTACATTCAGGAACACTGCAGGTCCAGAAAAGCACCAAGCGGTAGCTGTAAGAAACAATGCTGACCTCTCCACATTTTACAGGTGCAGCTTCGAAGGCTATCAGGACACTCTATACGTACATTCCCTGAGGCAGTTCTATAAGGAATGTGACATATATGGAACTGTAGATTTCATTTTTGGAAATGCTGCTGCTGTCTTCCAGAGTTGCAATTTATACGCTCGAAAACCGATGCCCAACCAGAAAAACGCCTTCACAGCCCAAGGACGAACTGACCCGAATCAGAACACCGGAATCTCCATCCACAACTGCACAATTGAAGCTGCGCCAGACTTGGCAGCGGACCTCAACTCCACGTTAAATTTTCTGGGAAGGCCTTGGAAGGTGTTTTCTAGGACTGTCATCATGCAGTCTTATATTGGCTCTCTGATCAGCTCAGTTGGATGGTTGGAATGGAATGGGACGGTTGGATTGGACACACTGTTTTACGGTGAGTTTCAGAATCACGGGCCGGGGGCAAACACGACGAAGAGAGTACAATGGCCTGGTTATAGTCTGATGAATGCTACTCAAGCCTTGAATTTCACTGTCAGTAATTTCACATTGGGTGATACTTGGTTGCCCGACACCGATATACCCTTCTATGGAGGGTTGCTGAATTAGAGAATTATTAAAACTTCTCAACTTCCAAGTGAAAATTAATACTATTTCTACTGATTATTGTATTTAGTACTGTTAAAAACTTTTTAATTATTCATTGGCTTAATTTCATTCCAACTTCATTCATGTTCATCATATATATCCTCGGTTTATAATTCCGTCCTCTAAGTAGCTAGTGTAAATTTACAAACAGATGGTAATAGAATTAACTTAATTCGTAATATTTGAATTTCCAGTATTACACATGAATGATCTGAAAATTAATTTAATTGGAAATATGAATTATGAAATGTCAGACATGTTGGACTTTGTATATACTATTTTTCAACAATTACATCAAAGCCAGAAAAATATATCACAATTTGCTGTGCAAAAGCAATCAGAAAGTATAAGAAGGCACACAAAACAATCATGATCAAAAAGTGTGAAATGGAAAATAATAAATTGGGAAAAGAAAATCAATTTTTGTTCATGAAACTATCAAATATATTGGTCAGAGGCTTGATGTGTAGGTAACACCAGCATCAGAGATCCACTTAGTTCCTTGGAGAAATGAATGCACTGTAAATTTGCTGGCTGCTTTTTGGTTGATGGTTCTCAACCCCTTCCATTTAACCCTATTCTTTGTGGAAGCACCAGGTCCAAAATTTTGAAATTCCGAGTAAAATACGGTGTCGGGAGCGCTATTGCCTACCCATGGCAACCATCCATCAGTGCTGATGAGATTTCCCATGTATGTTTGCATGTACACAGTTGTGGAGTAATTCTTCCATGGCCTCCCGAGGAAAGTTTTGACCGAGGACAAGTCTCCAAAGGGCGATATGCTGCAATTGTGAATCGAAATTCCTGTATTTTGATTGGGATCAAACTTCCCTTGAGCTGTGATGGTGTTCTGCTGGCCTCGCATGGGAACCTTAGGCATTATGTTGCAGTTTTGGAGCACAACTGCTGAGTTCCCGAAAATGAAATCCACTGTTCCATAAATGTTGCATTCGCGGTAGAATTGGCGATTGGAGTGAGCATAGAGAGTGTCCTGGAATGCATCAATGTCGCACCTATAGAAGACTGACTGATCAGCAGTTGACAACAAGGCCACTGCCTGGTGCTTGGCTGGCCCTGCAGTGTTGCGAAATCCAATGTCCCGGGCAATGAATCCCTTTCCAAAAACGGCTGCATACAAAGAAATAATTGTTTCTATTACTATTATGATATGAAACATTTACCAGCAAACATTGCTGATCAGATCTCTCACTGAAAGGAGACTCATTTGCATGAGAAGAATCCCCTTTCAAAAGGACGGCAGTAATGTGATCAGTAAATATGCTAGCTATACAGAGTTTTATCGAACTATTACCGACTGTGGCAGTGGAAAATGTGGGAGTTCCATCCACAACGTTGAGTTTGGCAGTTACAATAGTTGCATTCGAACCATCACCGACCACCAAAACATTCCACTTGGATTTCTCAACCCTCACATTCCCATAATAAACCCCCTTCTTGACGTAGATGACTGTTCTCTTCTTGCTCTTATCCGGAACAGCATTGAGTGCATCCTGAATTGTTTTGTATTTGCTACTGCCATTGCTTGCCACGACAATGTCTGCCTTCTTCCTCAAATCCGAACTCTGAAGCAGCTTGCGATCCTTCCGATGCAGCCACTCTGGTACTCCCTGGCTGTACGTATCGGTGGGATCAGGGTGTGTCAGAAGTCGCCTTAGGTTCACTAAGTTAAGGACTTTGGAAATCCAAGAGACAATGGCGAGGCTGTTGCTAGTTAACTCATTGGAGTTCTTCAAGTAGCCGACAACTTTATCCTTGAGTTCTCCTTTTACATCGTCAAAACCTTCAATGCAAGTCTGCTGATATGTGCCTGAAGAGCTCAGCCAAGTCTTGAGATCATCAAACACATCAACCAACGACTTAGTGTCAGACAATGAGTCGTTGAGATGATCCAATGCCAGACTCAAAAGGTCTTGACAATCTTTCAAAGCTGCCACAGACTGTGTGTCCTTGGCAGTCGCATTAAGAACACCATCAGCCGAAAAATGAGTAGCGGCTTTCGACAATTCATTGATCGCCACCTGAATTGCCAACTTGAAAATCTCCTCAGGCTTAACATTGTTGGAGTTAACCAGAGGACCAAGACTGCTGTAACACGAATCCTGGTACAAGGTCACATCACAAACAGCCTTGACAGAAGTGGAGATGGCCGAGCCTTTAGAGTTCCCACCAGATTTATTATGAACGGTGGTTCCAACCACAGCAGCAACAATGACACAGACAAGAACTATGGACGAAAGGCTTATGATGGCAACTCTCTTTCGAGTTTCCCTACGAGCGTCGAGCCGGGCTTGGTCGGATTCATCAATCTTGCCATAGGATTTGATGGAAGACATAATGCTAAATGATTTTCCTATGTGGTCGAGGATTGCATAAGGGATGGTGGTTGGGTGTGTGTTTATATATATATATACATGGAGGGTTTGGATAAACATATTGGTAGCCTAACGCGGTACTACGTGCTTTGCACTTTACTATTTTTGGTAACATTCAACTGCTGGAGACTGGAGTGCTTCACATGTTATAAGTATTATTCGTGCACTCCGATTTCTTCCCCCACATACATCCAAGATTATTATATGAATATGGTGTATTTAACTTCAGGATAATGCTAAGCTGATCAAAATTTTAAATCAAATTTAGAAATCAAATAATGTGTCACCAATAGGAGAGATTTTTCAATATGATCGGTACACGGGGTAGTACATCACGTGTCACTATACAAATGGTGGGATATGTGTGCTAAAAAGTTAATAACTTAAAAAATAAAAAATTTCACCACTTCTATTAAAACACTTGGTGTACCACTTGTATTCCTGTCACAACTAAAAATTTCACCACCAATAGGAAATAAGCACGTTAATCAACACTTAAGTAATAATCTAATCATTAACATTCATATCATTTGGTTTATAAAATTTAGTTTAGAACATATACATGTAAGTGTTATTCATGAACTCACTATTAATATCACATATGTAATACAAGTATAGTGATCTTGCCTCCCTGATTAATTAGGGACTAATCATTGTATCACTCTAAACAATTTACTAATCTTGATTGCAACGACCATACACCTGGTAATACTAATAATGTTGCTAAAATCTCATATGAAATGAAAAACAAAAACCTATAACTATGTAGTATTTTGCGGACAAAACAATGTCTCAAGATTTTCCACTATACTTTTATTAGTAAATTGTATTAATGGTCCCTTAACTTTAATCAAATTGGAGTAATGGTTCCTCAACTAAAAATTCATTACCATTAGTCCCTCAACTCATCAAAATGTGTAGCTATGGTCATTTTCGTCAACTTTATTAGAATTTTGTCAAAATGAGTTATGTTGGAAGGATCATTGCTACAATTAGGGTCCCTCAACTCATCAAAATGTGTAGCTATAGTCATTTTCGTTAACTTTGTCAGAATTTTGTCAAAATGAGTTATGTTAGAAGGACTATTGCTACAATTGGGTTAAAGTTGAGAAACCATTTATCTAGTTGTATTAAAGTTGAGGGACCAAGGGTAATAGAATTTTAGTTGAGGGATCATAGTTGCATGTACCGGATTACATGGGTAAAGTTTAGGGAGTTTTAACAAAACACTTCCGGTACTGTTCACTTTTAACGAAAAACCACATTTTTACCTTTAACTGGCACTATTCACTATACATTTAAAAATAACTTTTCGTTAAAAGAGATGTTTTTTTGAACTTTTCGTTAATTTTCCTTAAAGTTTAACGCTCTATCTTTTACGAACTTGAACCACACGCAAGTGACATGCAGTTTGAAATACGACAACATTTATGTACATTGTAAGTTGTAACAAAGCAACGGATCTATTTAGTACAACAAAACGATGAAATTTCCTCCTATATGACACGAAAAAAGAGATTGTGTTTCGAAGGGAAGACTTCTAAATGGAAAGCTCCAAGAGAAGACACTATGAAAATCAACTTGGATGGCCCAGTGGGTAGAGGTTCAGCTGCTGGAGAATTTTCATTCGAGATTCTGTTTGAAGGCCAATTGTTGTTGGAGCTCACAATCTAAGATCAAATACTATTACTGTAGCTGAGACTCTCTTCGGGATTCTCTTCTTTTTGCAAAACAGAGAAATATCAAGGATGTGGTAATTGAAGGTGACTCCAATATAGTTATAGATGAGATTCTTGACTGATGTAAGATCTCTTGGAGGCTCAATACTATTTTCGAGGACATCAAATATCTGACGATCTCTTTTAATTCTATTCAGTTGCTACTTATAAAGAAGCAAACTTCCTAACTGATGCTATCACACTCATTAGTAACAATATTGACAACATTTGTATTTGAGATCGGGTGCTTCTTCAGTGCTTCCTCGTGAAGCACTCCAGTTTTTATTTAACTTTATGAGCTCCTATTGTTCCCGAGAATTCTTTTTTTCTTTTTTTAATAAAGTTTATTTCCTAAAAAAGAAGAGATCACTATAGCCAAAAGTTCTTGCCTATGTTAATGGAGAGAGGAAAAGAAAAACCAGTAGGGGTAACATTCAATTCTATCTGTTAAATATTTATCAACGGCTGAGATTAAAAGCTTAGATAAGATTAAAATATAATAGCTAATTAAGTAATACATCTGGATAGTTGAATATAAATTGTCTTTAATGAAATAAGCTAATTAGGTATCCATAACAGCCATATTATTATTCGCTATATTTGGTATCAATGTTTTGTGCCCGATTTAGAATTTTGGACAACGTTTTGAACTTCTATATTAGTCTACGTCCTTATCTATTTAGTGTAGATAATATTGCTTATTTAAAAAAATTATAATTAAAAGATGAAGTGAAAATACAAAAGTATCCTTTAGCTTAAACATTCAACTTTTCTCTTCCTTCAAAATAGTGAGATGAGTAAATGGTAAAAAAAGGAACACCCAGAGCAGTAATTAAACCCAAATTCTACCACATTAACATAAATTTAAGAATTTTTGTCAAAATTACTTATTGATTTTTTATAATACAGTTTAATAAACTACTACTAAGAGGATTTTTGAGCTCGAGTTAAAAGAGGCGAGCGAGCACACCTGATGGGAGATGTATACATTGAGTTTGCAATATAATGAAATTGTCACACTTTGTTGAGTTGACAAAAGTGACATAATAATAATATTGTCGCACATGATGGAACATAAATTAACATGGATGTTTGATCTTTAGTACGAGTTTTAGTTTAAAGAAATGAAAGAACGTACATAGTACATTGAAAATCAATAATGTAACCATATTGAAAAATTAATATTTTGAATTATCAACGCGGAACGGTAGTATGCGTGCTATACAAGTTACTCTAAATAGTAAAAAACCAAAAACCAAAAGGTACCGCTTACCAAAAGTAAAAAAGAAAAAGGAGAAGTTACCCACCCACGTCTCAAACCGCGGTTAAAACGTAGCCGAGTCTAGTTAAATAGCACGCCCTCCGACAAAAATTTCACTTTTGCTTCCAATTCTTTTGTCTGTCTTTTTCTTCTTCCATTTCTGTCTCCTGAGCAGGACACAACCTCTCTGCCTCTCTCTGAGGAACCAGAGGGTGTTGAGGAGGGAGGAGCTTCCATCCCTCGGCCCCTACCAACCCATCAAATAGGTACCTTCATTTTTCTGCTTTTTATTTGTTTACTTAAACTACTTGTTTCATTTCTCAGTCTTCTTGTCAACTAAAAAAATAATAATAGTCAAAGGAATATTTTTATCTTATTCATCGTGTGAATTTTCATGTATTTTTATGGTTGATCTCTGTGTTTATGCTATCTGGTTATTCTCTTGGTGTGTATTTTATATTCTACTTCCTTTAGTTGCAGGTCCTGGTGTGAGAATTTACCCTTTCTTGTTTCTGTTTGATCTTTTTTATTTTTCGTGTTTTTCTTTGATTTTTAATCTTCTAGAACTTTGGATTTGATAGCGTGGTTTTTTTAGTACAAGAGTAAACCACACTAAGGGCAATGGGTTGAATAGGAAGGCCCTGACCACCGGGGCAATCCACCACTTGCTGATGGTATAGTTTTGTAGTTCGAACATCTTATGATCCGAAAGGTGGCTACCCCGAATTTCCGTATCTATGTTAAACAATGAACAAACAAATTAATAGGTGAATTATATTGCTTAGGTAGGTGGAATATGTGCTGCATACCTGCATTATATCAAGCTATAACATTTTGAGTTAAATCATGAAAATCAGTAACATGGTTTTGTGAAAAAATATGAAACTGATTAGTTGTGTGATGAACCTGTTGTCACCCAGTTCTGTTCTTTGTCTTTTGGAAGTTTTTTGCAGTTACAGGGTATGCACTTGTAACATTTGGTTTTTGTTCTAATGATCTCATGTTCCTCATGTTGCTGATTTGTTTTTTTTTCATTTTTCATTTTGTTTTTGGTTTGTAACTGATGTTGTTGCTTTTGTGCATAAGGTTTTTGTATTAGGGTTTTGCTTTGGTTTTTTTCATCTTTTTTGTTTTGAATGCAAAACCGCGGAAATCCGTTGCGTTTCTTTGTTTGTTAATCTTACTTGTTTGATTCATGATCAATTAATATATATAACTTTGCTTGTCTACATGGTTCTGACTTCTTTAATGTATTACTTTTTATGTTTTCAATTAATCGTATCCGTGAAAGTATGTAATTTTCCTTTTTATTTTCATTGAAGTAACGTTGTTGTTACTAGTTCCATGTTCCTGATCTCCCGTATGCGACAATTGTGGCTTTAACTGAGTTATTCGTAATTATCATTTGCAGAAGATTTCATTTGTTTTTGGGTTTGCTAATCATATAAAGAGTAGAAGGGTGGTGAAGTTGGCGTGGACTGTATTTAATTACCCAATTGTTATATATTTGTATACAATCAACCTTGTTCTTTGTGTTGGTGGTGGATGGCGATCATTGAGGAGTTGGAGTTCAGTGACGACCTTGACTTTCTTTTGGCTTTCCCTGAGGAAGGTGAGGCAGCCCCAGAGAATGACCCAGAGGCAACAGTGGAGGAGGATGATAGTGACGACGAATTGGATGTTAATGAGCTTGAGAGGAGGGTGTGGAAATATAGAATGCGACTGAAGCGGCTTAAAGAGCAAAATGAGGGAACAGAAGCAGCTGACAATGCTAGGCAGTGTCAGCCACAGGAACAAGCTCGGAGGAAGAGGATGTCACGGGCACAAGATGGAATCCTGAAATATATGTTAAAAATGATGGAAGTTTGTAAAGCCAAGGGTTTTGTTTATGGGATTATCCCCGAAAATGGTAAACCAGTGACTGGTGCGTCTGACAGTCTTCGCGAATGGTGGAAGGAAAAAGTAAGATTTGACCATAATGGCCCTGCTGCAATTTCTAAGTATCTGGCTGAACATCCAATCCCTGGGAA